TACCTTACTGTAAAGTGGATGGACATTCACACACCTTACTGTACAATGGATAGACATTTACACACCTTAATGTACATTGGATTGACATTCCCACATCTTACTTTTCAGTGGATGGACATTCACACATCTTACTGTACAGTGGATAGACATTCACACACCTTACTTTACAGTGGATGGACATTCACACACTTTACTGTACTTTGGATGGACATTCACACACCTTAATGCACATTGGATGGACATTCACACACCTTAATGTACATTGGATGGACATTCACACATCTTACTGTACAGTGGATGGACATTCACACACTTTACTTTACTGTGGACGGACATTCACACACCTTAATGTACAGTGGATGGACATTCACCCACACCTTGTTGTATTGTGGACGGACATTCACACACCTTACTGTACAATGAATGGACATTTACTCTCTTTACATTAAGACTGTTTACCTCTAAAAACGTAAACAAATTTTAAAATATCATAAAATATACTGCAGACATTTTTAAAACTTACATATGTTGTATACTTTAACATATATGTTTATTTTGAAGTTCAATTTATAATTTTGGTCTTATTTGGCCAGGTTCTCGTACGCTGTTTTGGGTATATCTATATAATGCCAAATCATGTATATTATTGATTTTACCGCCTTTTTGTCGCATACTCTTTTGTTAGTTAACCGAACGAAAACTTCTTTTGATACAGAAAATATGGCACATAACCAATACTTTACCCCTGAATGATTACAAATTTGTTTTGAAATTGTTTTGCCTCATTTACTTTAAATTAACGATAATATTTGTTCATTTCTGCACGCATTATCAGTTGTTATATATATATATATATATATATATATATGTATAGCCATGTCTTAAAGCTGCTTGCTTCCAGATGAGTCAAAATATTTCAATAGAATCAAACTTGAGAAATATGTACTACGATTTTAGGAAAAGCAAGATTCAAGTAATATTTTACATGCTATGTGCGGTTAATGACTGATTTTTCAGTATTTACAACAATATTTCTACTGCGTTGCTAACGCAGTAAGGGCTATTTATGCATTTTTTGACAACTTTTTGGTAATTACGTGGGTTCTATTAATTAATTGCTTCCTTTTGTTTATTTTAAAATATTAAACATTAAATTAAATACATTTTCAAAATTGTCATGAAAATTAGCGTGAATCTGAAGGCGTAATGCTGTAATATTTACATATAACAGTAATCTAAATATTTCTGGCTATATAGGTTGAAAACCTGTCAAGGATAAGCCGCTGTTTCCGTGAGCAAGAATCTTTACACCCATTGTTAGTTATAAGTTGGTCCCAGGATCGGATTCAAGAATGTTTCAATAAGTTTATAGTTTCCAACACAATCAAACTAAATAATTCGCACAAACTAACGCGCAAGATTAGTAATCCAGACGTCCCAGCAGGTATGGTCCTTTGACCCTCCACAGACAATACGGAGGGTCTTTCTGATGACCGAGGTCTCATTTATATTTTTCTCTGTAACGGTTTTATATAATAAACAAAACAGGGTCGCTTCTGAAACCGGTCAAGCAATATCCCGAAAATTATCGCGGATTTGGGCAACAAAAATGCTATACGTGTGTGTTTTGTCTTCATTAAAAATTAGTTTACACATTGCCTGAAAAAGAGAAGTTATACAAAGGAGGAAGTTATTTATATCTAAATCTAGAAATAACAGCAACAGGAAGTACGTGAGCACGTGCGTACCACACGGTATACAGGATAATTACCACCCGGATAGAAAAAATCGTTTTAAAGTCCTTTTTTATATAAATTTTGTTGGGCTTTGCGCAGGTTTTATCAACATATCGTTGCGCAGATATTTACGGAAGAGCATTAGTGCCAAGTGTGTGTTTTTATCAACTCGAAATTTCGACTGACTTACTCGAAATTTTGAATTAATAACTCGAAAATTCGAGTAACATAAAATTATCTCGAAATTGCGACTTACTTACTCAAAATTTTGACTTACTTACTCTAAATTTCGGCATACTCCATACTCACTCGAAATTTCAAGTAACTTATCTCGAAATTTCGACTTAGTAACTCGAAATTTCGACTTAGTAACTCGAAATTTCGAGTGAGTAAGCGAAATTTCGACAAACTAACTCGAAATTTCGACTTAGTTACATTACTAGAATGGCCAAAGGTATGAGTTACAAGAGTTTAGATAATATAAGATATAGTGCGGTTGAACGATGGAGATGGAGAAACGGGTACCTGGACAAATTTTTATATTAGTGTGGTCACTTTTGACAATGGCATGTACACGCCACACCTAAAAAAACCCCACAATGCTTCCTTTTAATTTGTACTTTCAGGCGTTCTTCAGACGTTTTATTGTATCCCATCTGAACCTATTAAATTGTTCTGTTAAAAACATAGGTGCTCTGTCAATGTGCAACAGCTACACATGAAAGAAAGTATCTTGAATTTCACCGGCAACCAATGTCAGTCGTACAATGTAAGTCGAAATTTCGAGTAAATAAGTCGGAATTCGAAATAAACGAACGTTCTTGTTTTGTTTTTTCGCTCAAATAACAAGGGAAAATATATGATGTTTAAAAATAATGTTGTGAACGTTGTGTCTTAGACTGGAACTGTCCCAGGTTTTTCAACGTCATAGGGTCACGTTAGAATATTTCTTTTTATTTAGCTAAAATTTGTTTACAATTTAAAATCGTGGCTTCCGATAGGAAAACTTCCAAAATTTCGAAATAAATGAGTATTTTCAAAAATGCAAATTTTGACATATAGACCGAATTAAATCTGTATTCAAAATGCATACACATGGATGCACAAGGTTAACAAATACATGAGGAAACTAAAGTGCTCTAATGTTTTTGTTAGCTTATCATATGATACGCAACGTTTTGTGTAAATATTGTCCTTTTGGCGCATTTAAATAAAATCATCTGCAAACTGTCGTCTGCATTTTACCGGATCTGATTTATTAGTATGCATGTAATGTATGTTTAAAGAGGGTCGTTTCGTTGTCGGGTACGGATCCCGGACATGTCACCAGTCATGCCCTCATTTACCTCCGTGCAATTTCCACAGAGTATAAGGTAAAGAAATAAATGTTGAGCCGAAATAAGGTCACTGTAGAGCGATCAATGAGCACCTAAACGTACAGTACCAGTGGCAATAATGGAGGAGGTTAGACTTGAAAAGAGCTGTTTGTGCAAGCAAAGGGTGCTGCGGTTCAAGTCGTCTCATCTTACTAAGTGCTCAAACACCCTAGTACCCTTCCTCGTAGTCCCTGACACATTTTTCGTAGATTGCGATAGAAGCCTAACTCCTAAGTGACGAATGGGTAGTTTGGTCTGAAGGATCTGCCATGTTTGTACAAGAAAGATCTCGGATCTTATCCAGTAAACATGTTCAAACTCCAAATTTTTTGCCGATGACCTGCGATTTGTAGTGTATAAAGCTATTTATAGTTTGATTTTACTGACCTCTAAATTATGAATACATTATATCAATCATTTCAACATAACTTCTTTCATTATCTAATTATATCAATATTGACAAAACAAAGGGGTACCGATAAACATTTTTTTCATAAAAGCATACTATTTATTATAACCTGAATTAGCCGTGCCTTATAGAGAAGAGGCGGAGTGTTCGCTTCGTTAGTGTTGGGATCATGTAAAAGGCATGATATTGCAATAAAATACAAAATGTTATAATTTAAAGTAAGATCTTGCCGATCCTTGTGTGCTGTAAAACTAAAATAAACCAAGCCGAGAGGTGACAAGTTAAGTAAGGCCTATATCTCCAAATCCATAGAACATCGGCCCGAGCTAGTTGTTTTCTTACATGACAGCAATATTAGCTGTTCCATTGAAATTTACAATCTTATAAATGCTTTTACAATCAGAATATGTGTGTTTCTTTTTTTAACGAGCACAATAGCCATGTTTCATTTAATATCAATAGAAAATATTTTAGATCAATAAGCTAAAATGCTGCAGCCGCCATGCTTTATTAATGAAACGTTTAAATTAACTGAAAACAGAATATTGTAATCAATTTACCTATGTTTTCTGCAGTATTTTGTAAGGATGCAAGCTGTTACGTTACATTTCTAAGCAAACTGTATATTAGCAGACGACATCTTCTTTATCGTCTGCAAAGTCAAGGACTTTGACATTCAATATTCCATAGTGTTTGTTATATACTAGTATATAGGGTACTAAGGGGTAGGATTGGGGGTAGGGAGGGGGCAGGGGGTGAGTGTGTCAGGCAACTGTGACACAGTACTGAGGTTTTTGACGGGACTCGAAATATATTTGATCGACAAACGTTTAAACACTTTGAACTTAAACCGGGCTAATAATAACACTAAATGTCGATTTTTAATTTAAAGCCAAAATAAGCCTCAGAAAAAAATGCGTTTCTTTGTAATAGGACACGAAAATAAAAAAAGCTTTTCCAAGGTTCAGTGGGCTTTGTAAATGTATGAAGGTATATATCTGTTGCAAAACATTTTTTTATGAATATTTAAAAATAAAATGTATACACATGTACTCCTAAAATACCTGTATGAAAGAAATAAGTTTTCCTTAGAGCCATTCGCACGTTCATGAAACTATTGCTTACCGGTTAAAGCAGCGTTCCTGGCATTTGTTTTACATGGACATTTTATAAAATGTGTTACAAATAAACTGCTGTGAAGTGGACAAAGAAAGTAATTTACACTCTGCAAACGACACTCCAAGTAAATTACCAAATAAAGCTCAAAATGTGCAAAAATAGCCCTTTCTGCGTTAGTCACGTAGAAATATGATGATAAATACTGCAAAATCATTCATTAATTTGCTTAAAACATGTTCACTGTTTCTTGAATTGCCAATATTTTTTGCTCTTCATAATATCTTAGTACATTTTTTCTCAAGGTTGATTTTCCTCGAGACTTGCGTCTTAAATGCTTCTCATTCCTTTAATTTATTGCAGAAAGACATCGTGAAAATGGGTAAAGAAAAGATCCACATCAACATTGTTGTGATTGGTCATGTGGACTCTGGCAAGTCCACCTCAACTGGTCACCTGATCTATAAATGTGGTGGTATTGATAAAAGAACCATTGAGAAATTTGAGAAAGAGGCTGCTGAGGTAATGTACATTCGAATTTCACTCGTACTACATAATCCTAATGTTCAAAACCTGCACTACAACATGTTGTGTTTCTAAAACTTAACATTTTTGTTGGGGTAGTACCGCTTTTGAATGAAATTATAATTTGGAAAATGATTTTTGAATATTTTCTTCAAAATAGATCTTGATTTCAAATTTATATGGGCAATAAACAATTGATTACATTTAGGTGATATCTTTAGAAATAAACGACGAAAATAGTACAGTACTTGAAAGCTGAACATAACCCTCAAACAATTCATTTATGTAAAAAAGGTCTCAAGGTCCTAACTAATTTTATGGTCGTTTTCTTTCAAACTTTGATTCGTAATAAAATTTACAAACGTGTGATAATGAAGGAATGTCAAAGGAAGCCCAAGGTTATACAATTTTAATTTCAAAATATTTAATGGTGCGTTTCAGTCGTTCACAGGTTTCAGTCTGCAATTTTAATGCAAATGTTATAATTGAAACAGTTCTATAATTAAACAACTCTTAGATGAATCATATAACGTGATAATCATATAACGTGATAATCATATAACGTGATATTCATATAACACGACACTCATATAACGTGATAATCATATAATGTGATAATCATATAACGTGATAATCATATAACGTGATAATATTGGGTCATTTTTTCTGTGTCACTTTCCAAACATTATATTGTAGTTAAATGTAATATATCAGGTAGAAAACAAGCGACAAGGTTATACAATGCTATAAATAGCAAATTATTCAATGGAGTGTTTAGCTCTTTCAATTTCATATAATTTTTAGTCAAGAAGGTATTGAAATTCAACGAATGAATCATCAGTAACCGACTACCAACAAAAGTAAAAAAAAAAAAAAATAAATAAACAAAATTCCATGAAAGTGTTGTGCCAAAGTGAATCACTTAAAGGTTATAATAGATTGGAGCAAATAAAAAATAAAGCATTGCAATAACAATATAATATTAACTCAATTCTAAAGTGATTTTCCTCGAACATAAGTTTTAATTTATACTGTCTGGGTCTTTTTTTACATGTCACTTTCGAAACATTATCTTGTAGATAAATGTAATATATCGGATAGAAAACAAGCGACAAGGTTATACATTGCTATAAATAGCAAATAATTCAATGGAGCGTTTAAGTTTTCAATTCTGAATAATTTTAGTCAAGAAGGTATTGAAATTCAACGAATGAATCATCAGTCCCGACTATAAAAAAAGAAATCATGAAGTGTTGGGCAAGGTGAAACAACTTTAAGTAAATAATGATAAAGCAAATAAAATAAAGCATTGCAATAACAATATAATATTACTCATTCTAAAGGCTTTTCCTCGAACATAAGTTTAATTAATTCGGATATCTTCCATTTTTTCCGTATCTCTCAGTAATTTAGAAAGCGTTTTACTGACGAGGCTTGTGTTACTCCTTGGGTTATTTCAGCGCTTATTTGTTCATTATATTTATATTTATTATTATTATTATTATTATTATTATTATTATTATTATTATTAGCGACGTAGTCCATACTATTACAGTCTAATCATGGAATTTACCTTAAACAAATACCTTTTACTCCGAAACACTGATTGGCCTTCTTGTGTATATTATATCTAAGACATTCTTTCCAAAATACAAAATGACATTGACCCATTGGCTAAAATTGGAAGGTTTTATTTCTTATTCATTACCACTTTTTCTTTTTTTAATGATTCAAGGATAAGGTAGTTGCATTTGAATTTTTTTTATCCATTCATTGTGTTTAATCAAATTTAATCATCTGAATCATATTTTATTCTAGATGGGCAAAGGTTCCTTCAAGTATGCCTGGGTGTTGGACAAACTGAAGGCAGAAAGAGAACGTGGTATCACCATCGATATTGCTCTGTGGAAATTTGAGACCACTAAATACTATGTCACCATTATTGATGCCCCAGGCCATCGTGATTTCATCAAGAACATGATTACAGGTATATAAGCATCCGTTGAAACTTTTCCTTACTAACTGGATCTCAAAGATACTTTCTCTAACTATCTGGTAGTAAATATAGCCCCCACACTTCCGTAAAGCGATACTTGCGCGACGGAAGGGAAGCTATACCTTACGAATTGGTTAGGTAAACATTGAAGATTTACCTCCCCTATTAGGATAGTAAATCTCAAAATTACTGTGATATGGCTAAAGCTAAGTTTAAAGATATTCTAACATGATTGTGGTTAAAGCTCAAAACTTATTTGCAATTATGTCGTGTCCGCTCTCTAAAGTTATAAATTTCTACAAATTATTTTATGTCTTATGGTGAAATATGGTCGTATCTCTGAAGGGCTTGAATTGGTATCTGGCAAGGTAAACGCTGATATCAAATACCGACCTTGCGTCAGAGTTAAAGGCAACATGTTTTTTTTATGTTACTGAATAGTTACATTTGTCAATATGTTTATACGTATTGTCATATGTTTAAAGGAACCTCGCAAGCTGACTGCGCTGTATTGATTGTCGCCTCCAGTACTGGAGAGTTTGAGGCGGGAATCTCCAAGAACGGTCAAACAAGAGAGCACGCCCTGTTGGCTTACACCCTTGGTGTGAAACAATTAATTGTGGGAGTTAACAAAATTGACAACACGGAACCGCCTTACTCGGAGGTTTGCCCTTTAAAATGTTGATTAGCATTTTACTATATGGTATAGGAATCGTTTTACTATATGGTATAGGAATCGTTTAACTGCAACAACAACAAGAATGGCCAATACGAAACATATGGTAGTTGCCCTACCCTCTTTATTGAAATTCTGTTGGTTTCTTTTTGGTCGTTTATAACATATTTCTTTCACACCTTATAAAATAAAGCCAATGCACTTTTAGAATTTTGCTCCTCATAATGTTGCAATAGATAAAAATTATTCGATACATTCTTATCAACTTAGCCTCGTTTTCAATTCCATAGTCAAAAAAGTCCATATCAAATCCATACACCACCCCTTATAGTCTCGTTATCATTTCCAAAATGTTCATATCAAATCCATATCGTATCGCATTTATTCATGATTTATTCTCGTTTTCATTTTTTTTGTGACTTCAAAATCTATGTCAAATCCTTATTGTAGTTGAAGCGGCAAATTTATGTCAAAATGTCATTTGCCTTGCCAATCAAATCATTATATAGTAGTAAACGGGTGCCGGATAGTAATTTTGTTCTTGATGGTCAAGGAGAGATCATTTTATGATAATGTGACCATTATTTGCAAGACAAATATGCCTAATGCCTGTGATTGTATCCAACACTTATATATCTAAACAGGCCATGATCTAATGGTTAGGCAGTCAATCTCGTAAGTTCAAAATTCAATTTTCGTATCAATTAACGTTGAAAGACCTTGCTTTAACCTTGTCGCACATTTTTACAGTGAGTTAGTAGAAGTCATGAATACACTTTTTGTTTACAATTATCTCTGTCTTTTATTCCAGGCAAGATTTACTGAAATAGAGAAAGAAGTTTCTGCCTACGTTAAAAAGGTCGGTTACAATCCAAAAGCAGTAGCAATTGTTCCTATTTCCGGTTGGCATGGTGACAACATGTTAGAGCCTTCTAGTAACATGCCCTGGTACAAAGGATGGAAAATTGAGAGAAAGAACGTGGACGGGAAAGAAGAAAAAGCTTCCGGCCTGACATTATTTGAAGCCCTGGACTCCATTGTGCCACCGAGCAGACCGACTGATAAGCCCCTTCGTCTACCACTTCAGGATGTATACAAAATTGGAGGTAATAAAAAATAGCTCTGAAAATAAGAAGTTTTAAACCTTGTTATAAATATTTCACATTGTAATTTTGATTTATAGAAGATTTGAAGATTGAAAGGTTTTAATTTATTTTGTTTCAAATATAGTATTTATCTGAGTGAACGAGAAGTTGGGTTTCTCACATTGTATCATTGGTTTGATTATTTGCAAGAGGAACAATTTATATTATCTTAGAATAACTAATAAAACATATAATATATTGCTCTTCTAGTGATAGATATTCAAAGGAGATTTGAATAATATCTTTCACAGCTATTGAAGGCTTAGGAATTATGTTTTCTGCATGGGTTAGGGATAACTTTGTAACGTTTTGAATTACAGAATAATAGAAAACAACATATGAAGTAAAAGAATCATATTTCAGGTATTGGAACAGTGCCAGTTGGAAGAGTTGAAACTGGTATACTCAAGCCTGGCATGGTAGTAACGTTTGCGCCATCACAACTCACTACCGAGGTGAAGTCGGTTGAAATGCACCACGAGTCTTTACCAGAGGCAACACCCGGTGACAACGTGGGCTTTAATGTAAAGAATGTATCTATCAAGGACATTAAGAGAGGGAACGTTTGCGGTGATTCAAAGAATGATCCACCGAAAGGTGCCAAGAGCTTCACTGCCCAGGTACTATATTTCACCTTACATAAACATGCATGCATTCTATATCTAATCCCTATTCTGTTAAAAATGTCAGATAAAGTGGTTCATATTTGCACAACTAGAAATCTAAAGATTTTTTAATGTTTTCTTTACAATGAACAGAGTGTTGTTTTATAACCAGAAAACCATAAACTAGTAACTAGCTTATCCTGTTATACATACAAACTACTTGTATAGTTTGGAATATTGTTATGCCTGTATTTCATTTTACAAAACAAAACAAACCAAAAATATAATATATAAATTCCATTTCAGGTTATTATTCTTAATCACCCAGGAGAAATTAAGGCGGGGTACGCACCTGTTCTCGATTGTCATACAGCACATATCGCCTGTAAATTCGAGGAACTTAAGCAGAAGATAGATAGACGTTCAGGAAAAAATCTCGAGGAAAATCCTAAACTCCTCAAGTCTGGAGATGCATGTATTGCAATCCTGTGTCCATCTAAACCAATGGTGGTAGAAGCATTCTCAGAGTATGCCCCCCTGGGGCGCTTTGCTGTCCGTGACATGCGACAAACAGTTGCTGTTGGTGTGATCAAAGAGGTGGAGAAATCAGAAGTTTCTGGCAAAGTGACAAAGGCTGCACAAAAGGCTACCGGAAAGAAGAAATAACCAAACTTTTTTTTATCAGATATGAAACATGTAATAAAGACATTTGACTTTAAAAAATGAACTGAAGTGCGTTAAAGTTTCTTTTCAGTTTTTTTTCCTGATTTATTATTAATGATACTCTTGAGTTTACAAAAATAAAAATACCTGTTTAAAGGCTAAAAAGTATGCAGTAAACTCAGAAGACTACATGATAATGTTTATCTTTCTTAACTTCCATTTAGCTGGAGAGATCTAATTAGATCTACACAGCAAGTCAAATTTCAATTTCTAGACATTTTACTCACATTTTATAAATGCTGTAAATGCTGTGGAATCATGCCACGCACGCTAATTGTGATTTTCCACCAAAACCCTTAGTGACATGAATTTTGAAGTATTCAACAAGTTAGCCTATCGAAAATGTTGATATGTAGGATTCTGCAGAAAGCTATAAAATGTACTGATGAATGAATCTGTCAAGAGATGATAATGATATTTTCTGAGCTTTAGAAGTAAAATGAACGGGGAGGGACTCCAGTCAGCTGCATAAGTTTAATCTACCACGTCTTCAGTAGCCAGAAAAGTTCTGAACAAAGTAGCACTTTTGGGAGGCAATACGTTGACCGTAAACGCATCCTCTGCTAAAATTATTTTGCTTTCTCTCGAATAAGTTTCATTGAAAGTTTGCACACTGACTAGTGGCCAGATTGACAAGATTTTATATACTTCTGGAAAATGTGCCAACTGTAGAGTAATCCAAGTATAAAAGAACAAAAACACTATTTTACTTTTAATCTAATAAAAAATGTAGACGAACATGATATACATTTATTTGCATTTAATCGAGTTACTTCGACGATTTGAGTGCGTAGAAATACATTTAAACGTTTAAAAAAGATGACATAAAACATACTTTCATTATAAATATACAGTTTAACGGTTTGACATGGTGTAAATGATTGCACATTTTTTGAATTATTTTAACATCTTCATGCCGGAACCATGGCAAATGTACATAGTGTTAATTTAAAATTATTATTATTATAAAATTATTATATATATTAAATCAATGTGTTCATACCCTTTAATAAAAACGATTTTAAAATACCCTCCAAAAAGTTGTAAAAACGAATGATAAAAATGAGATCATGATTACACAGTGTCGTGTATTTGTTCACTTAATATAATAGAAAATATGAAAACGTTCAGGTACTTTTGTCGATCAAGTGGTGGACTAGTATTCCGTGGTGTTTGTGTTCGAGTCAAAGTCAAACTGCGCGTTTTTCCCCACTCTGTGAATACGAATATAATGTCCTTATCCTCAATAACATGAAAGTGACAATAACAGCACACCTATAATTAACGTAAGATCATTTTTTATTTCAAGTAATTTCAGGTTGTTAATTGCTAACTGAATGCCAGTTGTCGGTACCAATGTTATTTGATGTCAACTTTTGACCTGTATTTCTTGAAAATACTTGGTAAAAGTAAGGGAAAAGTCAATGTAGTTATTGACAATCAAACGTTTTCCTTGTACAAGGTCACTGCAATCTTGACCCAATGATACATAGTTCTTTGAATAATCTAAAGATAACATTCTATGGAAAAAAGTTATGTAAAATCAAAGCACTCTGTGGTATTTACTTGTACCCTTAACTATTATTTACGGAATTGATATTTAAAGAAAAATGTCCGCATATGTTCTGTAAGTATATCTATATAATGTATTATAATGGAAGGAAAATCGATTCATCTACATATCATGCCTCGTGCTTAATATAATAATTATTTGACATGTTGCCCGTTCATTGACCACTACTTTGCTCCCATGAAACACATTTCTAGATAATTGACGTCAAATATAGTATATTTACAGTACTGAAGCTTAGCATAAGACACAATTAAATGGATATCTAAACACAAATGAGGTACCATGGCAACGACAGAAATAATAGCATAGTTATAATATTACTTTGCTAATTAAGAAAAGAAATATTCGTCTAGATAATTATCTTAGCAAAGAATAAAACCGAAGCTAGCACCCAGTTAGAATATGCGTCACAGATAATAATCAAAATTGCTAGAAAAGTTAGATATTTTGTCTAACAAGGAACCATATACATCTACCAGGCATATACATGTATGTAGCACAAACACAATTTTCAGTCCCGCATTTAGTGTACATCATTTCGTTGAAATATCGGAGCCACGGGTTACATGCACGTGTAATGTGTTTAAAATCAGACAATAAAACATATGCATTGTTTGATGTGATCTTTTCAGATCTATTGAGAAGAGTATTAAATTAGCAAATCAAAACATTTTCATTATCCATTGCCTTTCAAACTTTATAATAAACATTGCTGGGTCTTCTGCATATTACCCTTTCTTTTATGGTCTGTGATCTTAGTAATATACAAGATCGTTCACTAACTGAACTGCCCGCTATCACAACTGTATAGTAAACAATCACAATATTACACAATCACAATCCCCACAATCACCGTCCCCGTCACAACCACAATCACAACTATCATCTCCCCCTCCATGTGAGTCACCACCGTCACCACTACAACAACAACAACAGCAAGCTAAACAAGCAACACATGCTTCATCGTCAATCGGCTCCGATGTTTGAGCCTCACGTTTCCGGCGCTCCTCTTCCGCCTGTTCCAGCGTAACTGCGGTAACATCAACCGGTTCATTTATTTGTGTAGGACTAATCGGTTGTGTGTCGATATTCATTGTTAGCTAAAGAAAACAAAATAGAACAGAGATAAATATCATAAAAGCCGCATGCGCAATAACAAAACATCTCTATACTAAAGTTATTACAGATTAATATTTCATGGTTAATAACAAGCACAAAATCATGATATATAATTGTGTTTATTAAATTTCTAAAAAAATATCATAAACACGCGTATTTTCTTAATTCGTTTTGATTTTGTCTCCGTCCCGTTGCATTATCCATAAGCATGAACAGATTTGTGTTTAAAAAGAAAACGCGACACAATTGGAGAGTACCTTGACAACAAAACACGATCTCGTCGTATTTTTAAATGGTTTATTTTCATATGAAAGTACAAATGCCGGTGTATATAATTGTTTAACTTTAATAAATCAATTTTAATTAAGCTTGATAATGAGTAGAATCTTAAAACACACTGTGGCGTCGTTTACTGGAGCAATCATACTGGAGTCAAACGAGTAGCTTTAACCCCTATATATATATATTCCACCGAGCTCCTTGTTTTAACTTAAGGACACGCATGGAAGGTACGGCTTATATTTGCGCAGAAACAAAAACAAACAAACAAACAAACAAAAATATTTGATATATAATAAGATGAATAATAAATATAATAAAAGATAAAGAATTAAAGTTTTATAGATTCTTAAGTAGAACTTAAATTGTTATCGTAAGTCCCTGGTAGATATTAAGTCCCTAGTAGATTTTGAAAAAAAGATACATTATTTTACATTACAGCAAAACTACGAAAATCATCATATAATATCTCAGGGGAATTAATAATAGTTCTGAATTTCACAGAAAAAGGTTGCTGAGGTTAACTTGTGGCACTGCATGAATCAACAGATTTAGATCACACTTCTTTGACAAGTCTAATGTTACAAAATTCAATAACTAACCAGTTTGCTCTATATTATACAAATGTTTATCATGTATAATGCATTATTGATTCCTTTCTGTGAAGGAAGACTATTTTTATTAAGTAGGGATAATTTGGAACATCAATTTCTAACACAAATTTTATTGGCTATGAGCTTGGCCTGATATATACTCAGGCGCTGAAATAAATGCTAACATTACATTACTTAAATCCGTCCTTTCCGGACCTCAAAAACACAATAGTAAGAATACATAGAACATGTGCGGCAATTCGGTCAAACATAGTACGCTAAGAAACATGTAAAACAAACAGTAGTAATTCAATGCTAAGTGTATTCCAATATATCGGGTAAAAGTCTACTTAAATTAAGTAAATTTATAGAAATGAAAGTAACAGTAAATTTACTTGTACCCCTTATATATAGATCTACTTATTATAATGGTTATATAGAAACCGAAGTAGAAAATGTCTACCAGCTGATCATCAGTGGACATTTGTAAATTAAACATGATTGTCAGTCATAGAATAATCTATTTTTATCATAATTTTATCGAAACTCTGAATGTCAAATATATATTCGTTATACAATGTACAATATTAAATTTTTTTTGCATATATCAGACTGGACTAACTACCGTTTACAACTCTATCTGCACGTCGGTGCAGACGGGGGTAAATGTTTAGCGGAAACCGCCGTAAACAGTCACCCTCGAGCTAGATATTCCGATCATATATTACACTGTCATCTAGAAGTATTAAGTCCGAGTTTGTTATGAATAATAGCCAAAGAGTTCCGAATGTCTTGTTATCCTTGGGGCAGGGATATATTCGAAGTATGGCCCAGATCAAATTTACATGTATTAATAACACTGACATGGTGTTGTTAAGGTACTAAAATATTTTTATACTTCAGTGCAATTATAATTATTTCGTGTTTGTGTGTAGGAAATGATCAGTATGTTTTGGATATTTACCCGAAACTTAACATTTTGGTAGCATTGTATGTATTTGTGCCTCTCCGAATAGAGGTTAGAAAGTTGACAGTTGGCGCCAAACAAGTAAGAAATTTTGTGAAAATTTTGTGAAGATTTTAAACGTATGAGACAGTTAATTGGATATTTTTGAAGAAAAAAAACAGTGATTACACTGTGTGTTAGTATATTTTATTAGGAATTTTGCGAATTCTGGAGAATGAAGAAGGCCTAAATTAGTTTATTTAAGGTGTAATTTTTGGTGGATGGGGGTAAATATAAATTGCTGTCGGTCTTTATTTTTAGAAGCAAGGCATGCAAACTGTAATTTCCTTCAATGTATGTCATATATCCTATAAATTTGTGCATTTTCGTATTCAAATAAAACACATTCAGTAAGACATTGACCTTAAGCCGCAAAAGGATGACATGGGTTCTGCACATGAATTTCTGCAATAAAATTATTTTATTTAAATATGAGCGTTACCCGGAGTATAATAGTAATATACATAATGCTTAGCGGTTGCAAAAATGTCGTACGTGTCAGTAAAATGCATATGTAAATCATAAGAAAGACAACCGGAAAATCGTCACAGTTCATATTTCAACGTCTATAATTCCCTGCGGTCTGGATTTGCGGTCTGGAGACCGCAGGGTATTGGTACGGGCATGGAGGAGCACGTGACCTGTTTTCGGTACATGGAGGAGCATGTGATCTGTAAACCGTACACGATTGGTTAATTGACCTTTTCGAAAACCTGGCTAAATACCGTTTATCGGTACGTTACGGAATTACCTCTAGCGAGTTAGTCAGAATTACACATAATAAGAACAAAAAACTATTACGTGATATTTCTAATTTTCTATAATTAATTTACTGTTTAAGGTGGAAAAACTTGAATGATATATTCGAAAATTATCATTGTTTCTTTAATATATGTATCTCAAATTTTACAAACAATAAATTGTTTATAGTGAAAATCTACAAAATTAAAATATTCGTAGTGGCATCTGCCATAATAAATAGAGATATTTTCTGCGTAAACTTGTATGTTTACTTTATTATTTTTTTTGCTTGGAATTATTCATAAAATGGTAGGCCTATTTAATCATTTTCTTAAAAAGAAATATTTGTTTCATGTTAAACGGTCACCAGTTTCCAAAGACCTTCTTCTATTTTGATCGATTATTGTCAACTTTATTCCTGATACAAAAGTTTATTTATTCCCCTCTCCCAAAACAATGTTGAAAAAAGTTAAATGAAATAGCTTTGTATCATTAAAAATGTTCCCCGCAGGAAACCATTTTACTTGTAATTATTATAGGGAGAGACCGGGAGAGACCGGGAATAACCAATATGAGACCGGCAAATTAGTACATCCCTAAAATAGATTTTCGTACTTTCACAATGTTACGGTCATCATTCTATTTACAGCTTTCGGATACATATACAACATTCTAACCCGACCTGCATTTTTCCCTATTGAACATAGAAGAACCGAAAGTGTGTGTTATTATGCTATAAAATCACTGTTTGGCGTTCTATATTTAGACATGTGACGTAATCATTATACACGTGACGTAACCACTAAAAATGTGACGCGCTGACAATAAGTACGGAAACAAATCAGGCGTAATTTAGCTTATTATCATGTAATTCAGCATTTATTTGTTGATGTCGTGTTAGAATCGAAATAATATATCCAAATCAGTGATTTTATTGCTTGATAACATCACTGTTTGTCGTTCGGATGCGCATCATTATATCACTCGGGCTACGCCCTCGTGATATAATTCCCCGCATCCGAACTCCAGTGATGTTATTGAGCAATAAAATCACAGTTTGGGATATATTATTTCTTAAATAACATACCATAATAACCCACTGTGTACTACAAAATGATTAATAAATCAAAGCACAGAAGGCGCTGAATTTATTTGGGTATCAGAATGTCAGAAAGGTGAAGGTTGTGAGATTATAAACCAATTTGTTTTTGTATAGTGCCACCAATGCTTTCCAGCGTTTTAATCGTAGTAATTGGCTATAAGATATTCAATCCAATGTTTATTTGACTTAAGAAATTTGAAAAAAATGAGTTGCTTTAACTGGGATTTGAATTCCAGACCTCTCGCTTCCTATGCGAGCGCGCAAACCCCTCGGCCACGGTGAATTTATATGTTAAAGGCCTAAAGAAAACCATGTTATTCTAAATTAGGGTTTGTAACGACACTAACTGTTGTTTAACACAGATGTAAATAATCATGGAGCTTACTAAAAGCATGTATATCTATAAAGAATAAAACAATATTAGAAATCTTCGACCATTCGGGAATTATGTTGCTTGAAAATTAATGCGCCTGTCATTTGACCATCTTTACGCAGTGATCTCCCCTGAATAATTCGGCGTTAGTCTGATGTAAAAAAATGCATATGTACTTGTTTTACGCACTTTGGACCCCAAAGTGCGTTGGACCCCGAAATGCGGTGTTACAAAGCCTAAGCAAATATGTAAGACATGAATATAGCCGGGAATTATAATCAAACGCAGAGTTATAATCTCTAAAATTACCGGCCTACATCTAAATATTTTTTCGTTAAAACCGAGTGTACGGCCTTAAAGAATATAATATCAGCCAAATCTGACGACTTTTTCAATATACAGTAAACTTTGACCGATTTTTATAATAAAAGATTTAGATCAATTGGGTTTATTTTTTAAGGCCACCTTAAAGAAAACACGCTGTCGGATAATATGAAAATATATTCCAAGGACAAACAACACTGAAATATGCGCCCAAATCTGCGTTCCTGTTCCTACGTTTGTTGAATAGGCTACTGGCATGAATTACACCTTAAAGTTTGTATTCCTCACTATATAACTGACAGAATAACATTCACATCAATGTAGTTAGGGTTTGCATACAAGGACATCTTTAAAATGATATAAAATTAAGTTCATAGACTTATATAGTACTTAACTATATGACGGTCAGCATAACAATGTGCACTTACTGGTTGTTGGTTGTATTTGTTTACATTTGTATATTGCACAGGCTTAAAGGCATTTACATAAAATTTTACACAGCATAGGACATTTGTCACAATGTTAGACACAGTTTTTTTTATAGTATTATGTAATTATTCTATCTTTTTACATAATGCATTAGACAACTGATATATTCGTAACTCGACACCATAACAGGGATCCAATGCCACCTTTAAAATGACGGCAAATATAGAATTTTGTTTATTTACATACCTTATAGGTTACTTGTGATTTAACGTTATATACTCAAATATGCTGTAGCCTTTACACAGATGTAATATATCAGTAAAATGCAGATGGGAACCACGTCTGGACATCACTGATAGGACAAACAGTGGTAAATAGTGAACTAATAATAATAATAAAATATTATTAAATATTATTATTATTATTATTATTATTATTATCTGTGAGTGTCTGTTTTTATAGTGCATATCATTCTGACTAGGTAAATGAGTAAAAGAGTATATTTTCAAAATGACGACAAAAACCGATAAAACGTCTTTTTGAAAAACAAGAGCGATCAGTGATCACATGTGTCGCCTCATGATGGCCAATTTCATGTTGGGACAAGTTTTGTGACAGACGGACAGACAGACAGACGGACAGTGCACAACTAGACTTGGTACTGATCATTCCTGTAAAGTTTGGATAAAATTGCACCAATAGTTTATGAGGAGTAGTCCCGACAAGCTTTTGTGTATCTGGCAACACACAGAAAAAAACACCTTTTTATCAAAGGGCCATAACTCGGCCAAAAATCATTCAACCGGAAAACCCGTGCAATATGCGCAAGGACTTGAGCTACAGATCAATTCGGTAAAGTTTCATTGAAATTGCATAAGTGGTATAAGAGAAGTAGTCCGGACAAACTTTGAAAAAAAAATATTAAAGGGCCATAACTCTGACCGGAAAATGCTGACAATATGCACAACTAGACTTGGTACTGATCATTCCTGTAAAGTTTGGATGAAATTGCACCAGTAGTTTATGAGTAGTAGTCCGGACAAGCTTTTGTGTATCTGGCAACACACAGAAAAAAACACCTTTTTATCAAAGGGCCATAACTCGGCCAAAAATCATTCAACCGGAAAACCCGTGCAATATGCGCAAGGACTTGAGCTATAGATCAATCCTGTAAAGTTTCATTCAAATTGCATTAGTGGTATAAGAGAAGTAGTCCGGACAAACTTTAAAAATAAAAATTATTAAAGGGCCAAAACTCTGACAAAAATCACTGGAAAATGCTGACAATATTCACAACTAGACTTGGTACTGATCATTCCTGTAAAGTTTGGATGAAATTGCACCAGTAGTTTATGAGGAGTAGTCCGGACAAGTTTTGTGACGGCGGACGGACAGACAAACAGACAGACGGACAGACAGACGACGGAGAAGTGATCCCTATATGTCGCCACTACTCCGTAGAGGCGACACAAAAAGATATATATCCTGTGTTAGATCTATATAAATAATTTATCAAATTGTGTTAGTTTTTAACCTAATTTTATCTGTCGTTATGCAATCCATATTTGAACGTTAGTGAGTCACGACTTAAGTTTTATCTAAATACACATTTTCTTGCGATGCACAAAACGCATTTGATAACACATTTTATAGAATATAAAAAATAAATAAAATTACTCATTATGTTGTACATACATTCATACAACAAAACGATATGGATACATTTGGATATTACACTGTTACATTTGACATGTCTTAAACTACTTCCGCATGAAAGATAACAATTTAAGCCCTTAATACTAAACAAGTCCAGGTCAGTGTAATTAGTTGTCCGAATATAACAGGTAGAGAGATATATACCTGTTCTCGTATTTCCACACGTGATCTATTGACTTATTGATATCGATTATCTACCAAGTGACTTTCGTTCTCGTGTAATCACAACAGTGTCGTTAATATAAAAGAATGCTTGAAAGTCTACACAAAATGTATAATCTCGAATTGAACGTGTATCGACCGATCCAAACCTAGATAAATGAACTATGACCCGAAGCACTTCCTATAACACAGCATTACATATGATACGTTCTCTAGGTCACTGCCACTGGTTATTCTTCGGTAATACAAAAAGTTGTTTTTTGTCAACTCACCTGTTGTTAATTCTGAAAATCCGTTTTCGGTATTTACCTTAAGATATTTATAAACACCTGTTTATTTTACACATTTACGGTACATAGAATACGATACTTAAACCTACTGTTGTGATACCTGTACACCAGAAATGCGTCAATGAACGGATTTTGCTTGTGATTTAAAATGAAAACAGATAAATATATTGCATTCTTAGGATATGTACATTGTTACATAATCATTATACGGTTTAATGCTACAGTGAATTACAAAAAGATTATTGATTTTTTATGGAACCGATCACAGGCACGAGTATCGGACCTGGGAAGAAAATATGACCACATTGATAAAAAGTCTCTGTGTTCATCTTAAACATATTTTTTATGGTTTTAAATAATAATATGATGCTCAAATTAAGATTTATCAATATTGTAGGTTCCAAAAAGCATTATTTATAAAGATATTACCGAATTTTACATTTCATGTTAATAAGGGAGGTAATTAGAAATTTGTTTTCTATAAATTCTAAGTCAAATTTTCCAATAAGAAATGAATGCACATAATTTAATGATTACATTTAATATGTACAAATATTTGCAATATATATTTTTACATATTCTTCGATGTTTGAAAATTGTTGTATTAGCATAATTTTATAAATATACAATTTCACGTAAGAGTGGTATACATTCTCAATTATTAAAATACAGGATCTTTAAAATGTGCCAAAAAAGTGAAATATGAGCCCCCTTAAAAAAGTATAGCTATAAGTTAAGAGCCCGGAAACTCCAGATTCGAGTCTACGAGCAAGGGGTTCATTTCCCCGGGACGTTGTGAAACATTTGTCCAGAAAAGTAAAAAAACCTTTTATCACTATTTCATGTTTTATTAAGCTTCCAAATGAGACCGACCCCAAGTCTTTAGCCTTTCCCGTTCATGAAATATCTGTCAGCAAACGAGCGCATTTGTGCTAAAACTCCCAGGAAGACAAATATAAGTGGCACATTGATTCGGTACGTAAACATAGACTAATGCATGTTTGTTAGCAGAGTTACCGGTCAAAATCACTTGAATTTACTAAATAATATTACTAAATACATTATGTGGAACCACTCACCACAATTAGTAGCATCTGATACACGCGAAATTCGAGTTTCAAACCTCTACACGGTCTTTCGATTGCTTTCTACGCCATTAGGAATCCTTGTGCGAAACGTTTCGGTCTCGTTGCTATTGGCCAATCAGAAGACTCCTTACAAAATATCGAATAGCTGATTTACAATAATAATAATAATAATAATAAAGACTTTATTTAACGAGAGAACTCATTTGAACAACATATCAATCTTCCATGAGGCCCTCAACAAGGAACAATGTAAATTTAACATATTCAAACTATTAAAATACATAAATGTAAAAACATACAGGAGATTATCAATTTGCATACATGGATGTGTGATAATACCTCAAGTATAAGGTTTTAAAAATGGTTAACAGATGTAGCAGACTTAATATAATCAGGAAGGCCATTCCAAATACAAGATCCAGAATAAACAAAAGACTTACGAAATTGTTCAGTATTTGTCTAGGGTATAAAGTTGAAAATCAGATGATGAACGCAAAATGCGAGTATGAACATCTGACGATAAAATGAAATTATTCAATAAATAGGTAGGCGCCTGATTATTCATTATTTTAAACATCATAGTAAGCTTTTTGAAAAAACAACCCTCTGTGAAAAGGTCATCCAGCGGAGTTCAGAAAAAAGTTCAGCAGATGGAGTGTCATAATCTTTGTCTAGAATTAAGTCTTGCAGCTCTCTTTTGAACTTAATGAGTTTATCTTCTAGAAAAGACGTACAGTTACCGTAAATTATGCAACAATAATCAAGATGTGGTAAAATATATGCATTGTAAAATATTTTACGTACAGGTATAGATATGAAATAATTTAATACGTGATAATAAATGTAACAATGAGTTACACTTTTTAAGAACATTTTATCAATATGGCTTTGCCAAGACAAGGTGTTTATTGAATTGTAATACCAATAATTTTTCTTCAGAGCTACAAAAAATTTGCTCTGCTTTATATAGAATACAAGGATTACTTTCATGGATATAATTTTGCTTGTGTTTTGAGGAAATATACATGACCTTAGTTTTGTTAACATTGATAGACATGCGATTCAAATCACACCATTTGTTGGCATTTAATAGATCATGAGTAAGAGATTTAACTACTCTGTTTAGAGATACATCAGAGGTTGAAAGGGTAGTGTCATCAGCAAAAATGCTGTTTTTCCATAGAAAAGGCAGGTCATTGAATAGGACCTAGCACTGAGCCTGAGGCAACTCCAGTAGTTATTGAACTTGGGACTCTGAATATATAAACCGGATATAAGTTTGTTGGGTTCTGCAATCTTAAAATAGGAGGAAAACAAGCAATCTGATGAATGGGTCTAGGTTATATCATTTCTAAGCTTTCCAAATATATAGGAGTGATCAACATAGTAAAAAGCTTTAGAGAGATCAAGGAAAATTAGAACCAACTATTTCTTTTTGTCAATAGCTGTAATCCAGTCATCAATATTCTAATCAATGCTGTTTGACATGAATGATTTGACCTGAATCCAGGGACTGACGTTGTAAAGAAGTTTGATTTTTCTCAAGGTATTGCTTTAAATGTGGAACTGACATGACGTTCAAAGAATTAGTGATGTCAAGGAGAAGTATGGAAATTGGGCCTATAGTTTCTTTTATCACTTTTAGAACCCTTTTTATGTATAGGAATGCAACTTTGCATTTTTTGAATGATTTAGGAAATGTTTTGTTTAGAATACTGTTATTGAATATAGTGGTAAGTATGGAAAAGCAATAATATGAGCCGATAACTTTAGAAACTTGCACTGAGACATCTGACCCACATGATTTGTAATATCAACTGATTTAATTGGTTCAACACATAAGAGAGCTCTATTTTAGGTATTTTCGAAAGGGGGTATACTGCTGAAGTTTTTAGATGCATTTACTTCAACAAGCTCAGGATTTTCATAACCAGTCTGATTAATGGCATGATGGGATTGGTGGAGATTTGCAAATTGTCTGTTGAATAAATTTGCAGTGATTAAGGGGTCAGAAACCGGGTTGCCATCATCATCATCAATAAAATGTGTTTGAACCTTGGATTTGTAACCAGATAATTCATTTAGACCAGTCCATAATTTCTTTGGGTTGTGTTTGTTTTGATTGATGGTATCATTATAATATTGTCGCTTAGAATCATATATGAGAGACTTAACGTTTTGTTTCCATATGTTGTAATTATATGTGTCATTAACCCTATGAAACTGGTGTTTTGTTTTAATAGCATCGAGGATGTTTTTATTAATCCAGTTTGGTTGGGTGACCTTCTTTACTCGTTTTTTTCTGGTTGGTGCATGTTTTTCAAGGACAGACAAAAATTTATCAGTGAACAAATCTATTGAGTTATCTTGATTTTCTACAAATGCTACTTCTGACCAGAGTTGCTCTGACAATTCGGTTAAAAATCGATTTTCATCAAAGTGTTTAAGAGACCGGAAGGTTATTGTCTTATGCATGGGACCTTTAACACTGATATTTGAAAGTTTGCGTGTAAGACAAATGGGAAAATGGTCACTAATGGATAAGGAAGGTACAAAAACATCGACTACATTTTGAGGCATGTTTGAAAATGCATGATCTATCAATGTAGCAGAGCTTGAAGTTACTCTGGTAGGAGATTCAACAAGCTGAGAAAAATTTACAGACTGCATTAGATCTAACCAAGATTTAGAACAATTATCATGCTTTAAAATATCATAGTTAAAATCTCCAATAACAATAAATTCTTTTTCCTCTAAATAAGATTTTTCTAAGGATATAGCAAAATTATCAAGCCACTCAACTTTAGAAGATGGTGGTCTGTATGCATAACACAGTAATAACGATTTACATTTAGGCTGTTTAAGTTCAAGCCAAATGGATTCAATAGAAATACTTTCTAAATCAGATCTATGTACAAAAGATAAACAGTCTCTAACATAAATAATTAAACCGCCTCCATTGGAAGGCCTGTCCTTGCGAAAAAGTGTAAAATTGTCCAACTGTAGTTCATTGTCTAGAAAATTTACATTTAGAAACGTTTCACATAAACAGAGTATATCAATTTTTTGTTCTGAAATTATAATTTTGAGTTCGTCTAATTTTGGGTACAAATAGTGAATGTTAAGATGTAGTATGTTCAACCCTTTATGCGTGTACCAAGAGTTACTATTCTTATTGGAGTCATAGTTTAAAGTATTGTCGTTTACAATTTCATTAGTCAAATTAACATTGGTTTCTCCATATTGAAATGAATTATTTTCACAAATATCTAACGACGGCGATCCCAAGAATTCTGATTCCTCAGCCATGAAAATGGTACTGGCATGTAGAATGGTGTAGAAAGGAATCGAAAGACCGTTGCGAAGTTTGAAACTCGAATTCTTCACAGTTCTGATGTTGAGGATAACAGCGTAAGTATACATGTAACAGGATTATCTAACGATTTACCAGACACCACATAACTGTCAGATTTGTCTTAATTCAATTCTAAAATCACCAGGGCCATGCACTGATTCACCAAGTCGGTTTGAATCCGTAGCTAAGACCCTCGTAGTACTACGCAACACTGTGTTATGACGCCTTTTCTGAACACAGATATACAAAAAGGCGCAATGTTCCACTATCATGACTATAGAACAACAGTGAACGCGTTCGGTGTTCTCTTCATTTACAGTGTAGAACACGAACACACACCAACGTAATCGCCAGAGTTATAAGACAGTGTTCAGTAACACATGACGTGTTCCCGAGTATTTAAGGTATTCCTGTTTGTGATACCTTCTCCTGTTATAATGAAAAACAAGAAATAATGACTAAATTTTGAAATTTTACGACTGACATCATGTTAAGATAAACAGACAAAATGGCGGAATCATGTGACTGAAGTAGTCCAAATATGTCGCCTTATTGTGTCAGGAATCTATTGCGAAGGATAATAGCCGAGGAGATCCGATTGTGTAATTCTAGTCATGCTAGTACTTTTAGTTACACTCTTTGGGAGTTTGAAGCGTGTTTCTCGAGCATATTGATCGCTCAAATAACAATAATTAAGAAATAATATCGGTCTCAGCGGTGTTTATCTGTTATTTAACACCGGTTTGGACTTTTGATGCGCAGAAATAGAAACTTAGAAAATAAAATCAATTTTAAAGAGGCAGTGTGGCAAACAAAAACTATGTGTTGATGAGTGTTGATTAACTTTTTTTGAACTGTATTCGATTTTGTTCCGTTTACGTGAGACGTGAGTTCAAATCCCACGAGGGATTTTTTTATTTTATTGTTGTACTATTTGTTCTTTGGTTTATGTGGTTAGAATATGACTTTCCATTCTTTATTTCCATTCTTAATTTTAATCTTAAATTCAGAAGTATTGCAGTCTTATATATGTATGTACTTTAACAGTGCAATTGGTGAAAAAATAGTGCAGTTTTAAATAAAATTATATATAATTAAATCTGATGGAAAACCCACCTTTATATTTCGACAATTCCCGGGAAAATTTTCCACAAAAATGGTATTAAAAATGTAACGGAAAATTTTATAAAAAGAAGTAAAAAGTGAAAACCCATTAGGGGACTTTTTGAAACTTTATAAAATACATGATATAAACCCAGTAACCTCCTTGCAAATGATAGTATTGAAATTTTTTACATATTTACAAACAAAAAAAAAAAACAAACAAACAAACAAACGAAAAAAAAACAGCAACAACAAAAAGTAACAACAACAAAAACAATAGGTATTTTTTAATCAATGGTTGTGTTCGCCGATTGTCGTCACTTAATGATAAATGCAATAAAAATATCGCGACCGGTTCATAATATAACGATGTTTATTACCTCTAAATATTGCACGTAAAACACATATTATAATTGATGTTAATTTTACTTTACTGTAAACATTTTCTGAAGTGTAAGTCAATTTTGAAACCCGCCTTCCGCACTGGTTGTCTTATCAGTTAGTTAGACCATCCAGGTAACTTTAGAAATAAAGCAACAACGCTACTGTACGACTTGAACAGGTGCGCGTTTCTCCACGGTGAAGAGCGGTGGTCACATAAAGTTTTGCTTGCAAAGGCGATAAATAGCTTAATATTGAGTTTGAATATACAGGCAGGAATAATTTGACCCTGAAATGATTTCCTCTCGATGTCTCCTTTCACTAAATCGGTGATATTTATAATGGCGTCGCTAGGAAATCGATAGACTTAGGACTGTTTTTGGCTATAAATATAGGAGTCATAAGTTAGGACCATTTTTAAAGACTTTCTTGAAACGAAATAATCTCTCAATTTTTATCTGAGGACCAGAACTCTCAATGAAACCCAACCCTGGCGTACGTACGTGCGCCGTAGTGATAGTAAAATATTGACGGAACATATGCCGAACAGTGACAACGAGTTATTATAGTAATTTATTGACCGTATGCAATCGGAATGCATGCCGTATGGAATCGGAACATCCTCGGCTATTATACATAATGACCTCGGACACAGTAGTTTAAGTTGTAAACAAAAACAAAGAGATAATGTATATCGAATGTATATTGACATACATAGGAAAATAAAGTCTATTTCGGTAAAATTATCTGACAATCATAACACTAATTTAAAAATGCCCACTGATGTAGAATTTTAAACAAATACGAATTATGCCAACCGGTAGACATTTTGTACTTTCGAATTCTACAACCATAATTATATAAGTATATAAATTGAGTAGTAAAGTTTACTTTTATATCTTTAAATTTACTTAATTTCGATTAACCTTTACCAAACATCTATTTGTTTACATGCGTAGGTTAACCCGCTCTGTGTATTCGTCCTTATCCGAAGACTGACGGAAAGGACCGACAAGTTGCGATTGATTCCGTAAGTAGTGACAGTGTGTTATTATAGACACATGCCGTACAGAGACTGCAAGTGTTTATTAGTAAAATGCACTGATCCCTGACCTATCTAATTCTAATTCTCAGATTAGTGGATACAATAAAAATTTTACCGCAACCCAAAGAGCACATGTCAATGTTTGTGGTTAAAATCTATTGTTATTCAAATGAAAGGTCAGAGTGAGATCTATCAATATTTACGTGTCATTAAAGTAAAATGTCGACGTACATATGCCGTACAGTGATAGCGTAATATTAAAGTAGAGCACTGTATATAAATATCGTAAACATACTTCTCTCGCAAACACTACTAGTGTATAGTATTGGATAGCTGCATAATAACATTTCTCAATATCGACTGTGTAAAGAGCGAAAATCGTGTAAAAATTCTTAATAACGACTATCATAAAACCTTTTAAAATGTGATATCAAAGTGAAATTACTCTAGATCTACGGGCATATTAAAATGTTCTCTGTAAGTAGAACTGTTTATTTTACTTACATTGTTATATATAAAGTTTTTCAAATAATGACAAATCAGGGTAAAATTAATAGTAAACAGTATTGACTATTTGGACGGACATTACATATACTCATAAAATATCAAACTTTCATTATTGTGTAAACATGTTTACTAGCTATAATGATCAGATGATAAGCGGTTCAGTAAATTTGTAATGGCTTTTGATATATGATCACGATGGTTTGGTCATTGTCTAAGGCAACTTGAATGCTAAATGCTTTTTCAACATTTTATTCAAATAATACCATGATATACCGTTCATACTGAAAAATGGACTTGGGACTTCTTGAAAATGCAAGGCCTGACATATCACGTATAACCAGTATTTTTCTTGATAAGAATAACGTTAACATATTACCTTATTTTCGTATTAGTACTATCCCAGAACATAACTTATGAAATGAATTAGACCAGAGAGCCAGGTCAAATTATAAGATCGATACTGTAAATAATTTCTGAAAGGCTCTTGTTGGATTGGCAACGTAATTGGTAGTAGTTGGTAAATGGCACTCGTACAACGTGTTACGTAATCTTTGTTCATATGCTATTTTCAGGATTTTTCATTTTAACACTCGGTACACAACTATTTTAAAACATGCATTTTACTGATGTCACTGCAAGGAAAAACCCAGGCACCCCATTTGCAAGACATTGAATTATTTATACAAATAAATATAGCCGTAAATATGAACTTATCAACATATGAATACCAAACAACTGAAGCGTTAAGTTTTCATTTAGGTTCAGTGTGGTTTTGCCATGTGGCTTCACTGAAAAGCTGATAGTAGTAAGTAAGATCTATTTGACATCCAAAGAAAAATAATGTCTATTTTAGTGAAATTATAAATGAAAATATATGTCTGACATTGATAAACAATTTAAGAATACTCGTTGACATAAAATTATAACCAATTTAAAAAAAAATCGTCAACAGGTGTCGGTTTATTCTTAAATATTGTACAGTTTAATTTTATATCCATAAATTCATTCAGTTGAATGTAAACTTTTTCTTGTATATTGAAATAGACTAAGTCAACAATTGCTAAGTATTTGTTTACATATTAAATGCCGACCGAAATACCGTATTCATATAATACTATATTGTGTTCGAGGTCATTGTTCGAAGATTAACGGAAAGAGCCGGAAAGTAGCGATTTTGCAAAACCTGAATTAATAAGTATCTAGATAAGCCAACCAGTTATATTTAAGCGACATTCAATTATTCAATATTGCCAGTGTTTTTTTTATTACATTTTCTATGTTTACATTCGTTTTTTTATTTAAAAAATACGCGAGGGATCTAGCGCAATATGTGCCACCAATGGAGGGTGTTCATTACGGTAACATTGGATTACCGCTAATGACATTGTCCCTGGTGACTTAACGTGAATTGGTATATAATGGAAGGTATGTACGTAGTACAAGAAATAACTATAGTATTATATATAATATTTAGTATCAGATATATATATCAACAAACCACGAAAGAATTATACATTGTATATCAATTTTGCTGGCAAATATGAGATACATAATTCATTATTATACATGTATGCAGTATATTTATATAACAGATAAAAACTCTTTTAGAACAAAATAAAATATTTTATCATATGAATGTTCATACTAAATCACTTTGAACTTATTAACGCTTTTTTCAAGTAATGTTTTATAAAAAATATCAAAATGATACATTTCTATTTTTTTGTTAGTACTTGAAATAATGAAGGAAAATGTGCCAATGAAGACCAATTCACTTTTGAATGTTTTGTTTTCGCATTATTATAGTTAAATTCTTCAATTTTTGAATAAATAACATATACCATGTCTCTGGATGATATTTGTATACCATTATGCTTGCAGAAATGCTCTATGCGGCAAAATGTTTAGGAATGAATATAATGCAGTATTGTTGTGTCACAAATTATTGAAAGTGCAAGAGATACATTGAAACATATGTATCATAAGAACTTGCGGAAGAATACCTCAGGTGTCGCATTATTTCAGGCACGAGTGGTTTTATGAACACATGTTTTGCACGAAAATCTACGTAATATTATGTTGCTTTTATCACAGCGAGGGTGACATTATTATTTAGTAAGAAACAAGAAGTAACCATTCATTTAAACATAGCTGAAAGTGGATCTCAGTTTCGTGTGTTTGAGATCTGATGACTACAATATCATATTTCATACAGTATGCTGTCCAACCTATGGTGGCTTATTTGTGCCATATGGTATTTTCGCTCGCACGAAAATACGACAAAGAGACAAATTTGCCGAACTATACAAGGCGAAAACACCAAACGACAGTGGTTGGTATGGTGGCTGATTTGTGCCAGTTCGAGTTTTCTCCTGGCGCCCCGCGGGGCAAAAATACGACAAAGTATAGACACTTGTCGTATTTTCCTGCTTCCGTATTTTTGCTCCGCGGGGCGCCAGGCGAAAATACGACATGGCACAAATCAGCCACCATACCAACCATGCACCGTTTATGCCGGCTCGCCGTGGTATTACGGTAGGATTTTACTGAGAAACAACCTAAAACTCCGAAGCTATCCAAAAATTTAATCGAAGCTTGGCTTCCAGCTTTCTACAAAATTTATCTATCAGGGCTAGGATCCAAAATTATTTAGCCAATCAAATTTAATCTTACATAGCGTCAAAAAACCTTCAATTTTCACGCCATTTTTAAAAATCAGCAAGTATTGTTTTGAGCGCAAAGATATAATGATGATTAAAATGTTTGTCTTTATGAATTCTTTTCAATAAATCATATTTACACTGACTTCTGATTTAGCGATTTCACCTGTTTTCTCTGTAGTAAGTTTTCGTTTGGTTAATTAACATAAGTGTACATCTGGTTCTGTGCATTTTTTATTTTTCCTTTTTTCCGGTCATTTTATCCTTTCCGGTATTTAGTGTATGTATTTACTGGCCGGGATCCGGGATCGTATAAGATATGGAGGAAAAACCTAATGAACTATATTTGTGTTGATTGTTGTCGTAATGAAAGGCCATTAAACGTTAATTTTTTTATTGTATATAATGAACGTTAAATTAATTTAACTTAGAATATAGATATATTTAGAGCTATTTATTAACAAACTTAAAATGCGAAAATCACAATACTTATAATTATATGCCTAATTAATTGGAAAAATCAAAGACTATTTTCTTGAATTGGTCAAATCCCTGGATCCCTATATGTTTTAAAACGATCCCAGCTTTTCTGAAAACTATATACTTGAACTGGCCAATCCGTGAGATCTATTTACATTTTAATACGATCCCGGCTTTTCTGAAAACTATATTCTTGAACTGGTCAATTCCCGGGATCCCTATATGTTTTAATAGGATCCCGGCTTATCTGAAAAACATCTTCTTAGACTGGTCAATTTCCGGGATCCCTATATTTTTTAATAGGATCCCGGCTTTTCTGGCTGAATTGATTGACAACTTGTGTTTACTTTAGGACTTGTGCCTCTCATTCCAATACTAAATAACATACATGTATTACAACTTAATTTTGTATAAAGAGACATCTTTATGCAATCTACCTATCTAACATTTTGTGGTCAAGGTCAACAGACCATATAGTAAATGTGCATAGACATACTAGGTTCTTCATTCTATCTGTTTACATGCACCTTCATATATACTCATACTCATCTTGGTTAAACTGAGAGAACTTTATATGTCACTTTCAGTCAATGAGTTTAAGATTTTGAATTTACTGGCCCGAATTCCAGTTTTGAATTTATTCCACTAAATAATTAACAAAATTTTCTTAAATTTACACTGGCCTGAACTTATATACACTGGCCATCGGGCAACGGGCCAGTGTTGACTTCACTTTTATTTTGATGTTCGCTGAAGTCTCTTCAGCTAACAGAACTGTCATTTTTACATTTAAACACACCCCTTGAAAAAAATTACGAAGCGAGTCTCTACTAGCTTTTTTAAAAGCTAACCTTGTACTGATTTAAATCAGGCTATATTTGTAATGGCCTCTTTAAACAGTTGATAACGGAAATGATTCTTTATATAGTGCAAACCTCTTTAATGTCAGAAATTTAGCTATAACTTATATCGTTCTGAATGTATAATGTTATTATAATAATGACATGTTTTATGTTGTTGTTGTTATTCAGCTTAGTGTGTTCATATTGTCACCATATTGACGTTGACTTATAGTGTAGCACTGTAGTTGAAAACAATTTCTTTCATATAAAATCATAAAAGTATGTTAAACAGAATAAAGGGCTCAGCGTGAGATCTTATTTGGCAAATGACATTACTATATATAATCGTTTATCAAGTCTCTTTAACTTATTTACAAATATAATGATTCGTAGACATTTAAACTACATGTAAGACCAATCAACTTAAATTTATATTAGATATATATGTAACCATTATAAAATATAATCTAACGATTTACCTATGAAACAGATAAGAACTAGAATACTCGTGTTTATCTACCTTTAAATAATTCTATAAATGTAAGGGAGAATTAAGAAAAGAAAGTGAAATGAGCCGCGTCATGACAAAACCAACACAATGGGTTTGCGACCAGCATCCGCGCAGTCTGATCAGGATCCATGCTGTTCGCTATCTGTTCCTCTACTTGTTACAGAATGGATCCTGATCAGACTGCGCGGAAGCGCAGGCTGGTCTTGATCCATGCTGGTCGCAAATCCATTATGCTGGTTTTGTCATGACGCGGCTCAAATAATTACTAGATCTTATAATAATAAAATGGTAATGATATACGCTGAGGTATCTAACAAATAAAAGTCTTTTATTCTCTTTCTTATGAAGTTGATTGTTGTTTATTTTCTAATTTCAGAATGTGTATCATATCTCGGAAATATTTCGTAAATCGTTACCATGACTGTGACTTTGCCAGAATCATTGTGAAATGGATTTGAAGGAGTTAAATGTACTGTATAATAGGTTTAGCCCATTATACAACAGCAATCAACTTGGAAACATAATCAATCAAGTATTGAAAGAAGAAGATGTTCCCTCCAAAACCTCCAAACATTTAGAATTACTGGCGGGAAATAATGAACCAAACAGACAAAGCAAAAACGGACAAACAGTTCCTCAGGTAAAACAAGATATCCGCAAAGACACACACGTCTCCAGTAATTCTAAAACGCGTGTTAATTCTTGTGGCAATTTAAACATACGGTCATTTTTAAATTCAAATTCTAGTTTAGATCATGCAGCAAGTTGTAATAGAAATTCATCATATATCAATGGGTCGTCGCCACGACGGAGATTGTCCGCGCATACGTATTCTGACTCAAATTCACCGATAGGTAATGAAATAACACGTTCTCCTGTAAACAAGTCAACTACTTCAGTAATAGGTGATTGTTCAAGAAAACAGCTTACAGCGGGACCTGAAAGAAATGGCATCCGTAAATATGTCCAGTCTAGTCAGAATAGGCATGATGAGGAAACCACTAGAAGCTTTTCTAAGACCGAAAATCACAAAAATAATTGTAGGTGTATACCGGCATGTAACGGAGGAGATAGCTATAGCCTGTCAAATAATACAGCGTTCCGGTGTAATGATTGGTCCAAAAGCGGAAGTTCTGGTAAGAAAAAGGACGAATAATTAAAACTTAAAGCAGCATGCCTCCAGATTCATCTTATTTTCATGAAAAATTTGAAAATATATTTAAAAGTAAATTACGTTACGTTTTATGAAGTTAACAAACATTGCAAACATTATAATCCACATAAATGACAAAAAGAGGTCAAAATGTTCATAATCAGACAGTAGGAATTTGGTAAAAACTGCAAAAGCAGTCATCAATTGATTTTCTTTTTTGAAATGTGAATAATGAACTTTTCTCAAAATCTAAGTACACTTTTCTCAAGATTGATTGTCTTGAAATATGAAATATTTACACTCATCTAGAGGCATGCAGCTTTAAGGTGGTAGGTAACTCATGTAGAAAATTGTTAAAATACTGACTTTATTGATCATCCAGTTAAATACAAAAACATTAGCCGAACCTCTGGCAAAAACATGTTATGAAGCTTATTCACTTATTCATTATCCCTCATGTACAGACTCAATCAAACCGAGTCTGCAATTCTTATGTAATTTTGTTGTGATTAATGCTTCCGAGGGATCATTTTGTTTCCAGATTTCTATATGCATATAATATTCTATTTATCACATATCCAAGTAAGAAAATAATAATTTTTGCATCTTTACGCTATGCTTGTATAGCGCAAGTGACATGTACTGTAATATTGAGGGTCGTGTTATACCGTTGTTACGGAGTCGTGTGTTTATACAAAGAACTATGACATTCCCAGATGAAACACAATGCATAATGTATAACTAAGAAAACATATAAGGGTATGAAACTGTATATTTGCTGCACAAATTATTATTAGAATTTTAATAAAATACTTCCAAAATGCTTATATGAAATAAATACGGTAGTAAATTGCTTTAAAAAGCGAATGACGCATTCATGAAATCATTATGAAACAGATAAAACTCTACAATAGCCAAATTATATTTTGTTCCGGACCATTTTATCCTGTTTACGTACAATATTCATGTGTGTTAAATAAACGAGACATTCTATGATACATCTTTTTTATTGAATTGACCATATGATTATGAAACCATTATAATTTTTCTGTAAATCAAGTTTATAAAAAGATTTCATCAGTTAAAACTTTATAACGTTTCATTTTTATATAAAAAAAACTCTCGATCACAATCACAGATATTGACTAACCTAACATGATGATTTGTTTATAACAACACATGGGAGATATGATATATTAAATATATTTGTTAAGATCTTAATATCAGAACAGAACAGAACAGAACATACTTTATTACACGTACATTGTACAGTTTCTAGTGTTTAGCAGTATATAACATATTTGAACATATTTGAAGGAGATAAATAGGATGAAAATGCATGTAATAATGAACATATAAAGAAATAATGTTATAATAGATGAATTCATGTTTTATTAATAGATCGTGAGTAACTTTAAACACCGACTTGCATAACAAGTACAAAAGAGGAATCATCAAGACAAGAATTATACAATCAAGACACTAATTATACAATCAAGACAATTATTATGCAATATTAATATAAATATGTTGCATTAGGACAGTCTAACTTCAAATATTTGACTGAACTTGATTTCTTATCTAGAACGCCTCAAAAATAGTTTACTGAACATAAGTAGTTCTGTAAGATTTTTACTATTTTACAGTTTTACACATTTAAACCCTGTAAACTATCTTGATATATTTTTTTTGTAATTCGTTTTATTGTGGACATAAAAAACAATGTGATACTCATCCTCAATTTCACTTGAATAACAACCTTGACAATAACGTTCGTCTCTATCAATAACGTTCGTCTCTATCAATAACGTTTGTCTCTATCAATATCTTTTTTTTGCGAACCTTTCAGTTTGAATATGAAGACTTTTTGCTGAAATGCATGTTTTTGTTTAACCTATTTTAAGGTTTCATGGACTTATTTTATTTAAATAAGGTTCGAAAGCAAACGGAGTCTTTTGTCGTTTTATACAATAGTAAGGAACTACCTTCTCTACAATCTTGCAAAAACTCGTCAATAAAATTGTCTGTTTAAATATAAATGAAATAATATTACAGATATTGATTTTAGGAAAACTCGTATATCTAATCAAAGTACAGATGGACTGGCCATCTGTTACTATGTTTTTCTAATGTCTTTATTTAACAGATAATTATAGACATATAAAACAGATTGCACAGAAGATGAAAACTTTAATAAAGTTGTCAACAGTGGTGTACGGACATAATCCCCTTCGGACAAAATTCCCTTCATGTATTTTTGTATATCCGGACATAATCCCCTTCATGGGTGGACGTTTTTTATTTGTCCGGGTAGTGAAGGGGATTTTTTCCAGCCTTGCAAAAAAATGAAGGGGATTATGTCCACCAATGAAGGGGATTTTGTCCGGGTAGGTGAAGGGGATTTTGTCCGAAGGGGATTATGTCTGACATTCCCAGCACTGGTACGGACATAATCCCCTTCGGACAAAATCCCCTTCATGTATTTTTGTATATCCGGACATAATCCCCTTCATGGGTGGACGTAATCCCCTTCATGTGTGAAATTTTGAAGTGGACAAAATCCCCTTCATAAAATTGCTACCTAGGACAAAATCCCCCTCGGAGGAATTTTCGGTTTATAAAGTGGGTATGAGAGTGACATACTGCATTATGCTGTGTGGTAAATATCTTAATGTATAAATAAGTAGAAAATATTTCAGCAGAAAAGCACATTCAATTAGCAACATTTGAATCACAATAAAATTGCTTTGTTTAAGCATTAATAACAATCAATCAAGTAGTGCAGTGATCTTGGTTTGATTAAAATTATCATTCTTTCATCAAATATGTGTTATGCAGTTGATAATTTACTATAATTTTAATGAAAACTTCTAAACTAAATAAAGGTTAACTGTTGATGCATAATTATAAATAAAAAAACAAAAGTTCATTATTCATCAATTTTTAGGGAGTATAATAATACATTATTCATCCATTTGTATGGAGCATAATAACACATTAGAAACCTATGAAACAAGGGGATTTTGTCCAGGTAGTGAAGGGGATTTTGTCCAGCCTTGCAAAAAAATGAAGGGGATTATGTCCGGGTAGGTGAAGGGGATTTTGTCCGAAGGGGATTATGTCTGACATTCGTCACCGGTATGAACCTTTATATAAAATATGTCATCATTTTGGCCAGTATTTGACCACACACATTTTTTAGAAAAAACTCAAATTTACCAAAATACATTGTCAATGGGACTTTCGGTAAAAGAGATATTCGCACCTATAAAATGTATAAATTGTATTTACGCCAAAGGGCATAATTCTAGATTTGATCTTAATTTCAATGAAATATTCAATTTTTTTGTATTTGTTGTAGATTTTCTTACCGAAAAGTAAACAAAGTAACATTAACCAAACGTTTTTTGAAAAAAAAATCGATCTAACAAATAATCGACAAACTAAACAAAATAATAAAACATTTAATAATTTAATATTTTATAAACACATCATTTATTAATCTATTTCTTTATAGTATGTAATTTATACTTGCACAACAAAATATATAGTTTAACTTATACCATTGGTTCCAAGTTCCAATAAACGGGGAGATTCCTGGGAAGCAACAAAAACACCAATATTATAGGAAAATCGGAAAGTCGGTTCATGAGAGATTTGTAAAAATGTAAAAAATACAACATTTCTCACACCCACTAGCACAAAACAGACAAAATCATTTCGTCACTTTTCAATCGGCAAATTTTTCTAAAGACTATCTTAGACTTGGGTACGTTTACATCTGGACCCATTAATTGCAATATAATTGGCCCCGTGATCAGGACCAGGATCAAAATCAAATTTAAAAAACTCAAATATTCTCCATTGTTTATCATCATAGATTTAATATTTAAAGGTACATATTATGTCTCAGAAATAAATGATTCTTTTTACTTCTTAAGAAATGGCTAACATGAAATTTATAACGTTTAAATAATGGTTTAAGAGCTTGTAAAATGTTTGTTACCTGGAAAAACTGGCGCTAAATGTAAAGTTTTTTTGTCATAAATGTAGCAAAATGAAACAAGTCCACAACTCTGCAACTTTTAATTTTCCCATTCATTCCGCTTTTGTAAGGTTTCCACTAAAATGCACGTCTGTACATTGAATCAAAGCGACCTTTTAAATCAATACAACTGCAATATGATTTGTTTTTATTTTCATCAATGAACTTTGGTGCAAGTTTGTGCACCATCGATCTGTAGTTGAACGACCCCGAATTGGGCTTCTGAGCTGACGTCATTTTCCTCACACCAGGCATTTATTCTTTGGTTTAAAATTCATGTAAACAATTTTCCAAAATTACTAATTAGTAAAGATAGAGCTCTATTTTTAATATCAAATCACAACTTTTGATATAATGAACATTTAAAAGATCATCTTCACCGGGAGATTATAATGACATTGCTTTGCAAATTTCCTCTCATGATAAACTTTCCTAAAATGTCCGTTTAAGATTGATGGAAAACAATTTCTAAATAACGTAACATAAACACATTCCAAGACACAATTCTCGATTCCTTCTCGATTCCCTTTAATTGTATGTAATAATCGAGAATCTTACAAGTTCCTTGATATCTTATTCTGTATTTATTAATGTATTTATATCATAATGTTGAATACTGTCGGTAGACGGTGCTAGGGGGCGTGGATGTTAGCTTGTTATTTAGTATGACCTCAATTACTCTGAGCTTGCAACAGTGTTATAAGTTTCGCAATGAATTTCGTGCATGCAACATTCACTCTTAAAGAAAAATTATAAAATATTTATTTCATACAGGGTTTTTGATTTTTTTTTTCAAAATTGAAACAATAGTTTTCGAAATTACAAGCAGCTGATATATAAATTTATCACTTTAAAAGTCTTTTTGATTTCGTTGAACCCAACTATATTTTTTATTTGTTTTGATTGGGGTTACGTCGCACCAACATCGTAAAGGTTCCACAAGCTAGCTGGATAGCTTCTTTACATGAGAGACTAAAGTCACTGGCGGGTTTCGAACCATCAGTCCTGAGGGGCAAGTTGTATACATTATTAAAAATAAATGATCCCAATCTAAATCTCTTGAGTACATGGGACTGTATTCTTCCAAGCATAATAGGGCCCGACATTTTGTGTCGGACATGTAGATATAATAATCAACATGTTAAGTTTGTACATGTCTATTTATACACATGACTGACATAAATAGTTTTCACCTGAAATGTAAAAAAGTTTTTATTTGATAAAATTAGACTCCACCTTTCAAAGATATATGAGAAGAGTGTTTCAGATGAGGGGGTCACAACGGAGGAAAATTTTGATGGGAAGAAACACTGATACAGGCAGTTTAAGTTATCAAAATGTATTATTATAATATTTGGATGTACTAGTCTAATGTTATTTATTGATATTCGATTTCAGGTGTTGCTAAACCTAGAAATAATGACGTTGACAAACAGAAAACAGTGTTGAAACATGACGTCACTGAAGTTCAATCTAACAAAGCAGACGATAACCGAGAATTTATTCTCCCTGTTGAAATTGGGTGTTTTGGTAAGGTGTTGACAATGCAAGGCTACGTATTTAATCATATGCTATTTCAATCTCTAACTCAATCTTGTACTTTATAATCTGACTCATGGTGTAAATCTGCATGCCTCCAGATGTGCCATTTAATGTCAAAAATGTAACTTGAGAAAAAATGTAAGATTTTATTAAAAGTAAAAAATATTCAAGATGCAAGTAATAAGGTTAATGACTAATTTTGTAGTATTTTTCAACATATTTCTAACGCGTAACTAACACAGTAACGGGTAGTTTTGCATATTTTGACCTTATTTTTCGTAGTTTACGTGAATTTTAAGAGCCGTTTTCAATATGTAAATAACTTTCTTTGTTCACTTCACAATGTTTTACTTTTAATTACATTTTCAAAATTTTCATGAAAATTAGCATGAATCTTGAGAATTGCTGCTTGTAAGTTCTTTATTAGTTTATTTTACTTTGGCTCAAGCGTGGAGTGTTGCTTTTGCCTACATACTTCATATTTGTGCAAACGCTTTATGAAGACGATAATTTTCGATGGATTTTACCTACATTCTAGTCTAAGATTGTCAGAAACGAGTTGTTGCATGATTAAAATAATTCACAGGTCATTTTAAAACGACACACAGAAATCTAGGAATCTCTTTGGCCACTCTTGAATAGTTTAAAAAGTTCTTGTCATTCAAAAAATAATTAAAGGATAGTTTTAAAAAATGTATAGGATAGTTCTTTTGCCTTTATAAATTAAAATTCTAACACTATCGGAAATTTTTCTATATAAACAAAGAAGGCTCGAAGCGTGCATTATTCTACAACAATGCACTCAAAATTGATATCTATTTCCTAAGTAACGGGTGGTTCTAAAATAGAATACACAGGGTAGTTCTTTAACTTTCTAGATAAACTGCTTAGATTTTTAAGTTCTGTTTAACCATTCGTCCTCCAACAAATTATTTTACACTTTTTCTAGTTAACAGTTTATTTTTCATAGGAACTTACTGAGTTTATTTTACACATTTTTATATTTCTTTGTACAGATAAGAAAGAGATGATTGCTATGATTAAAACACTAGTGGCGGCCAACCAGTATTTTTTCGAATTTCCTCGTACGAATGAACCGGAAAAGCAACATTTACTTCAAGAACATGATAAGTATTTGGTACGTTATATGATCATATTATTTAATAAAGGGACAAGTCATTGATTCCTGGATCAAGACACTTTAAACTCATTGCTTAGTACTGGTTGGTTCCAGGAACAGATTTCGAGAGTGTGAGCTTATAGCTTCCTACACAATCGAGGTAAAATGAATTTTGTATAAACTTATTATACTTAGATTCAGAGTGCATTATTGTAGAATAATGCACGGCCCTGGAATATAATCACAAAGGTATATATGACTTGGTGATTAATTACAAAGCATTTGAATGATAAATCCATTCATTATTATACTATAATGCTAGACACATTAATTAATATCTATTTCCATTCTAACATGATAATAAAAAGGAGAATTGATACTAATATGTTGAAATACATTGTGCGATTAATTAATTTCCTGATGTCATTTTGTTTATTGACATCATATATGACGTGTTTACACGCATTCGTTTTTTATTCCTGTATCAGGACTTGTGCCGGCTCGCCACGGCGAGCCGGTATTACGTTAGGATTTTACTGAGAAACAACCTAAAACTCCGAATCCATCCAAAAATTCAATCGAAGCTTAGCTTCCAGCTTTCTACAAAATTTATCTATCAGGGCTAGGATCAAAAATTATTTAGCCAATCAAATTTAATCTTACATAGCGTCAAAAAACCTTCAATTTTCACGCCATTTTTAAAAAGCAGCAAGTATTATTTTGAGCGCAAAGATATACTAATGATTAAAATGTTGGTTTTCATGAATTCTTTTCAATAAATCATATTTACACTGACTTTTGATTTAGCGATCTCACCTGTTCCTCTGTAGTAAGTTTTCGTTTGGTTAATTAACATAAGTGTACATCTGGTTCTGTGCATTTTTTCTTTTTCCTTTTTTCCGGTCATTTTATCTTTTCCGGTATTTAGTGTATATATTTACTGGCCGGGATCCGGGACGCCCGGACTGGCCGGGATCCGGGACGCCCGGACTGGCCGGGATCGTATAAGATATAGAGGAAAAACAAATAAACTATATTTGTGTTGATTATTGTCGTAATGAAAGGCCATTAAACGTTAACTTTTTTTTATTGTATGTAATGAACGTTAAATTAATTAAACTTAGGATATAAATATATTTAGAGCTATTTATTAACAAACTTAAAATGCGGAAATCACAATACTTATAATTATATGCCGAATTAATTGGAAAAATCAAAGACTAGATTCTTGAATTGATCAAATCCCGGAATCCCTTTATGTTTTAATGCGATCCCAGCTTTTCTGAAAACTATATTCTTGAACTGGCCAATTCCTGGGATCTCTTTATATTTTAATACGATCCCGGCTTTTCTGAAAACTATATTCTCTAACTGGTCAATTCCCGGGATCCCTATATGTTTTAATAGGATCCCGGCTTATCTGAAAAACATCTTAGACTGGTCAATTTCCGGGATCCCTATATTTTTAATAGGATCCCGGCTTTTCTGGCTGAATTGATTGACAACTTGTGTTTACTTTAGGACTTGTGTCTGTCACTCATTCCAATACTAAATAACATATTACAACTTAACTTCGTATAAAGAGACATCTAAAGTTATGAATTCTACCTATCTAACATTTATTTGGTCAAGGTCAACAGGCCATACAGTAAATGTGCATAGACATAGGGACTTCATTTTATCTGTTTACATGCATCTTCATATATACTCATATTCCTCTTTGTTAAACTGAGAGAACTGGCTTCCATCACTTTTATTTTGATGTTCGCTCAAGTCTCTTCAGCTAACAGAACTGTCATTTTTACATTTAAACGCACCCCTGGAAAAAAATTACGAAGCGAGTCGCTACTAGCTTTTTTAAAAGCTAACCTTGTTTCAGTTACGATACATTCCGAGATTCACCAGGTTCACCATTTGCTTGTCACTGCTTCAGTCATTTAAATTGAAAACTTATGTTTCATTTCAATTAATTGAATGTTTTCAACAAAAGTATTTCATTGCATGCTCTCGAATGATCCAAAAGGCAATTTAGTGTCCAACTTTATTTTATGAAAACACTGCATTTCTTAAAAATTCTGTGCGTTAATTTTCATAGAAGAACAAAAGTCGATACTATGTATATGTTAGTGTTCATCCGTGATGTTCTACAGAAATTAGAAACTTCGACAGGAGCGATAGCGACCGGAGAATGTTTCTGATTTCTGTAGAACAGCTAAGGATGAATACTAACATATGCATAGTTCATAGTTAGTACCGGTCTTTAACATATTGGCGCAAATTTATGTGTGCGTCTCTAGGTTTGTTAAATTGCAAGTCATTTAAAGATTGTTTATCAGTGTTGCTTACATAACAATTGATAATTTTCAAATTATCCCAGTCAAATTATCCTAGGAGAATGTTGACAAATGCTTTACATTTAAGAATGTTTAAGGACAAATGGTTACTTTGGCAATGGAGAATGCCTATAATCACTTCTTGAGGAGTTGCCGTAAAAAATCATAACTAAGTATATGCAGAGGCACTCTTTTTATAGTAACCATTCATACATCAAACTATATATATATATATTGTGATTCATATTATCCAATTTTTTACATAATAGGAAAAGAAGAAACACCAGAAAAATGCACCACCTAATCAGATTGAAGATGAGAAAAACAGAACACGTATACGTGTCCTCGAACACAGCGTCAAATACATCGAAATGCGCATTGCAGAGTCGGTGAAGTTTGCGAAGAAAATACCCGGATTTTTAGATCTTCATTTAGAAGATCAAGCTAATCTTATACGAGGTATGTTTTACAAAATCACTTCTGTACTAAACCTTGAACCTTGAATTTTGTCAATCGTAAGTATGAGGTTATATGTTGTTTTATTTTAACATTATAATGAAAAACTATATACAAAATACGATTTCCATGTATGTATGCACTTCAAATTCAGTAAATATAGTTGGTACCCTCCAAAAGGTGCATTATGCCTCAGAAATTGTTTCTTAAATTTCTCAAAAGCTTTTTATGTTTGGCGTTCTTTTATAGTTTCCAAAAGGTTATTCATTGGCAAATTACCGTCACCATATTTTGCTTCTATTGCTTACTGGCAGTTAGTACAATTATGGCAATTAAGTAATATGTATGGAAGTGCAAATACAAGTTTGTTTATATTTTGCTACTGTTACGACACATAATTTTACTCCGTGTGTTATTTTCGGCTGGTAATAAGTATAAAACATACTTATAACACCATTATTGAATCGTTTTAATGATGTATTCAGATGTTTTCATTTCTGAAACTTTTAGCCGGGATTTATGTCGCAAAATTACAGCATAGGTCATTTGGCCAACTTCCAGTTTTACTGGTGGAGGCAGACCTCATGTGCCCTTTTGTGCAATAATTCATGCAAGAACTGGCACCTTAGTAGAACCCACGACGCTCTGCAAGCCAGCTTGATAGCTTTTATATGAAAAAATCCAAGCCGTGAGGGGCACGTGGTTTGTAGATAACCTCAACCACTTGGACATTGACGCTCTAATTTCTGAGACATTATTAACGTGCGTTTAAATGAATGATTCAAGTGTATTGAATGAAGTTTCCATGATAAATAATGTATGTAAACGTGTGCAAATTTCTTAAAAATTCTTTATATCATTAATTACCTTTTATATTCAAGAATCTCGGACAGAAAGCGGAATCATTGGTGGCATGAGGGGAATTAACACGGAAAAAGGGGTGTTTACAACTAAAGACGGATCCATCTATTCCTTAGAAGACATGAAACTTGTATTTGATGAATCGCTTCTCATTGAGAAAATGCTTTTGTCTAAGAAGATAGTAGCACTAAATTTGTCGTTAGAGGAAGAAGCGATACTTCGTGCATTGACTATAACAGCTACTGGTGAGCATGTCTCTTATTGACCTTATTTGAGCCGCGCCATGACAAAACCAACATAATGGGTTTGCGACCAGCATGGATCCAGACCAGCCTGCACATCCACGCAGTCTGATCAGTATCCATGTTGTTTGCTGACAAACCGTATAACAAGTAGAGAAACTGATAGCGAACAGCATGGATCCTGATCAGACTGCGCGGATACGCAGGCTAGTCTGGATCCATGCTGGTCGCAAACCCATTATGTTGGTTTTGTCATGACGCGACTCATTTGCCATGAATGTCATAGAATAGAAATAGCTTTAATATGGTTGCTGCTGATTAATGCTTGTGATTTTTTCGCTCTGCAAGACATAAACACGAAAACACGATAATGTCACTGCTTTGTTGTATCATTTGGTCATCGTCTGGCGCTCATTTGAGCGGAAGTATAACAAAGCTGTTGAATTTTAACGGTTGAATGACTTTTTTGGCTTTTTTGTGTTGCCAGCTACACAGAGGCTTGTCTGGACTACTCCGAAACTACTGGTGCAATTTCATCCAAACTTTACAGGAATGATCAGTACTACGTCTAGTTGTGCATATCATCGGCATTTTCCAGTTTAATGATTTTTGTCAGATTTAAGGCCCTTTTCATGATTTCTATATTTTTAGTTTGTCCGGACTACTCCTCTTATACCACTAATGCTATATCAATGAAACTTTACAGGATTGATCTGTAGCTCAAGTAATTGCGCATACAACTAACATTTTCCGCTTGAATGATTTTGCCGAGGTATGGCTCTTAAAGAAAAAAAGTGTTTTGTTTTTGTGTCTCCAGCTACACAGTAGCTGCAACATGCAATTGGATATTAGGAGGCGACTGATGGCTCTTGTTATTTTATTTCATTATTCTCATGTAGCACATTGTCAAGTTTCAAAGGTCGTCGACAAAAATATCCTTTGTCGTTATTCACAGTATTATTATGTTCTACATGTATATACTTACGAAACTATTATTATTGGATATTTAATCCGATAGAGCGCCTTGTACCGGCACCATTAGTACAGCAGGGGTTTAATTTGAGCCTAACATATATTTATATAATACAGTGTCTGGTTTCATAACACATACCTAGTGTTGTCTATTATTATGTTCTACATATCATTCTATAGAGTATGCAATTTAAATAGAAGTGACATTATGGTAAATATTTTAATATATCTTATGCATTTAAAACTATAAAAATAGAAGTAACACCTTTCAACATTTGCAGTATTGTGTTTACACGAGTAAAATCTAAATCAAGATGGTAACGTTTAGAGTATGACACTTAATTTGTCTCCAAATATTTGTTCAGTGTTCTTGGTAAAAACGTTTTCTGTAATTAGATTGTAAATGTCGGCGGACACTCAGAAGAATAGGCATAAACAATTTATTCTCTGCGCATTTCCAAAGGATTTCTGCTAAATCTTTAACAGACGTATAATCTACCGTCACCGAATATTGTGGCGCATATTTTTGATGTTTTATGATTCGAACCTTTTTTTGAGAAATTTATGGATATTTGTTTTTCTCATAATTGTATTGTATAGACATGTAGATAAATATTTCTCTGGACACAACTCTTAAAATTTTCAAGTAAACACCCTTTTATTTATTATCTTGAGATCGTGATTTAATCATTTTGTTTTTGCCTGGGGCTGGGGAATTTGCACTTGCTGTTATCTTTATTTTCATAATTATGTAAGTCAAGATGGGTATTCTTTTTTGCATTAGTCCGTAAACATTTCTAACGGGATTACAAGCTCTCATGATTACTAGAGAGAAACCTGAATTTCTGACAATTTCAGGCGCCTTGTTTCTACTTGTCATTTTGGCCGAAACATGGTTCGGACTAAATGTACTAGTTTCTTGTAGTTGTCTTGAAACATACCAATATAAATGATAAACGGAATTAGATATTGTCAGAAATTACGTAACTAACACTTTCCAGCTGAAGTTATAATACTTTATAATATAATGTGACAAAAGTCATAGAAACCAGTCATTTGATCTCAGTCTTTCAGGGGGAAAAAGCAAGAAAACAAAAACAACAAACAAAAACATAATTGTTTCATGTTCTATCTTTCTATTAAGACTAAGTGAGGAACGCAACTAGCTACAATGATTACATTTAACAAGTCCACCTTCTCATATATTTGATAATGGTATATTATAAAAATCTACGAATCTACGAGACAGTTTATACACGGAATCAATGAAAATTTGCAGGTTATTTTGGGTAACATTTCGGGTTTTGCAAAATGTATCAGTTTTAGGTACGACCAAAACCGCTGCCATTTTAATTGAGACGAGATGACTTTCGTATTTTTCGAAAATTACTACATAGGTGTTAGAAATAATTCCTGCCATAATCGGGCGTGCATTTCATCTAAATATATACTTATGATGTTGTTGAGTATAATGAATCTTGTTAAACAATTGGTACAAACACCTCATATATTATCTGCTTTCCTACCTATGTTGTGATGTAAATATTTCTATTTTAAACCATTTCAATGGTCCCATCCCTCAACTTTTACAAGAAAAATACTTTCTAGAAACTCCTAATCCATATTATAATTGTGAACAATGCAACTTGATCTGTGTGTTTATATTACAACTATAGTAAACAACACCAGGTTTACAGACGCTCTTTGTTATTTAATTCTTTAATTTAAAGGAATTATTCTATTTAAGTTTTCTAAAACAAGATTTTTACATTCCCGACTGGTTTACGTGGTTGTTGTCATAGAAATATAACATGTAAATGAAAAGTCGTTAAATAATTATGGTCATTTCTTTTTGCTACATTACGTCATCCTAGCGTTCCATTCTCATAATTATGTAATATAATGCCCGATAATTTATTTCAGAAGGAGCGTTAATTATAGACTCCGAAAAACAGAAGCACGCGAAAATAACGTGCTAAAACTGGATCATTACTTCATTAATATGAAATTATCAGATCTTGGTTGGCATCCGATATTTGTTAATAATCATTTGGAAGTTTACGTGTTCTATATTGAGCTATTTTATTCTATATTTATATTACTGGTCATCTAAAATTAATCATATAGAACAGAACAGAACAGAAGGTTTATTTAGTCGTATGCATGGAACAGCATATAGACATATACAAAAAATATATACATACATGTACATGGCAATAATATTCTTATATAAATACACATTTTATCATATCATATTTACGAGAGTGTTGTATTTTAAACACGGTTAAGTAACTCTTGCCGTTTGTTAAATGCCTTTAACAAATATAATGCGATGTTATGAAGTAAACGTTTGTTCTCTGTTTTCATAAGTTCAACAAATTTCATCATACTTGATCTCTGCCTATAATATCTGGGAATATATTTCATACGTATATCTTTAAATATGTTACATTCCAGTACAAAATGAAATTCATCCTCAATTGTTAGCTTATCACACAATTCACATAGTCTATTTTGTCTCTCAATATTCCTGTGTCTTCCATATTCGATATTAAGACAATGCGACGGCATTCTTATTTTTGATATTATTTGTCTATGTTTGAAATTATTTATTTTCGTAAGATACACAGATAACTCTAGACCCTCTTTCAATTCTCTAAACAAAGTCAAACTTTGAAACAGGTCGATTTCCATTGCATGTAAACTGGAAAATGCGTATTGTAAAATACTGGTTGAAAATAGTAAAAAAGTGAAAATTGTATTTTAGAGAATTCTTCATTCTGTAATAAAATTGTCAATCAGTCTAGTTTTCAGTACGTGTAAAAATACATTCATATTAACAGATGTTGGAAATAGCCAAACTTCAGCTAACCCTAATTGAGTCAGTAACATTTTAACATTATATAACCAATTTTTTTTCACCATTTTCACAATCCAACAACAGTTTCTTATATATGTTCTCTAAAATACAATTTTCACTTTTTACTATTTTCAACCAGTATTTTACAATACGCATTTTCCAGTTTACATGCAATGGAAATCGGCCTGTTTCAACATAAACAGCAGCATTACAAGTTGACATTTTAACATTTAACAGTCTCTTTAGGAATTTTCTATGAAGTCTCTCAAGACATTCTGCAGTATTAAATCCCCATATCTCACACGAATAACATAATATAGATGTCACATATGCGTCAAATAAATTGAGTTTAATTCTCACCGGTATTTCCATACCCTTCGTTATCGTATGCAAGGAGTTTACAGCTTTCAATACTTTGCCAGACAGAGTGTCTATACCACGTTTGAATAGTCCATTACTAGAAACTACAAATCCTAGATAATTAAAACTGTCAACAATCGCTATATCATTCCCAAAGTATGTTCAGTGTTCATTTGAATGCAATTGTCCTCTCTTTTTAAATGCCACAATTTTCGTTTTGTTCGTATTTACCGTTAATTTCCAACGCCAACAATAGTCATATAATAAATCTAGATGCGATTGCAATCCTCCTGGCGTATCACTTAACAAAATACAATCATCAGCAAATAAAATAAGGTAAATGCATACATGATCTAAGTTTACACTTGAGGAAATACTTGATTGTAAATGGATTTCTAGGTCATTAAGGATTCTTATAGTGATAAGAAGTCGATCAATTTCGGTGTAATGCAAAACAATAAATATACACACAAAGAACAAACCAAACGACCAACTTTCAAATTTAAATTTTATTTAATAAATAAAAGGGATATTTGAATGTGACATAATCTTTACCCGTTGTCCAACATTTTTGCGGTCATATATTCTTTGCTTCTGTCTGGAAAACTTCATTTTTTTGCGCAACAAAAAAGCTATCTTTTGCCCAAATTTTATTATATATATGCTACATTTATTATAATTATAATAATTATTATCAAACGTTTTATAATTTGCCGGTTCTGCATGCTGATGTATAGCATCGTTGCCTTTTCCTCACTACGAGAAGATAGAAGTAAACTTATCGCAAGATTATTCTGAACGCATGCACAATTAAAAGTCAGTTCATATATAATATACATCCCCATTGTGGCTGAAGGGTTGCCTTTTAGGGTTTAGGCATCCGAATTGCAGACACTGTTTAACCCCGCAAGATCGTAAGTGGCGACAAAATAGGTTTGAATGACTAGAGTCTATGCATCTCTTACCTCCCGCAGGAAAGGTTTTTGTGATCCCTGGTGTTGCTTTAAGTTTGTATCACCTGATGTTAGCCAAAATTATCTTTCTTGTGTGGGCGCCATATGACCAAGATTGTGTTGATGCGCCGTAAAACCAACCAACCAAACAACCAACCAAACAAACAAAAATATACATGTCATATATTATTGTAAAACAATTAAAAGTGAGTCGATATAAACTGTTCATTTGGATATTTCATTAAAACAGAACATAATGTCCACAAGTGTACTCGGACGTATGCTAAAAGGACAAGTGACCATGTTTATAACCATTTTGAATCTATCTCTATCATGTCTATATTCATCATTCCATTTATAAATTGTCTTTGTGTAATTTTCGTTTATTTCTCTATGTTGACCAATCGATATTCCGAACGACATTGGGAAGTGTATAATTATGCACTTTAAAATCCTTTAAAATATTGGTGAATAACCAATACCTTGTTAGCACTAGATCAACTACGTTTTCGCCGTTATGGGTCATGCACGTGAAATTACCGTTATCGTCGCGTAAACATGTATTGCATTTACTAGTATTCGGAAAACATCAGTAACAGTTTCGATTCATTAAAAGTGATATCTAAACTTTTGAAACACTCTCTTATGTAACTTGTATATAATTATGTGTTTTAACTATGTCATTGTTGTCACAAATGTAGATGTCGATGTGCTGTATATGCATAATACTGAATAAATTGTCTGTTCTGTTCTTGTTTATAACACACTTATTCAAACGTTTGCTTTAGTGAATTCCTCCATAACGGTAACCCAATACTGATACCTTTCAACTGATCCCCACTCTGACTTTTCATTTGAATTACAATAGATTTAACCAAACATTGACATGTGCTCTCTTGTTATCAAACATGTTATGGTGAAATTCTTATTTTATCCACTAATCTGATATGAAATTAGAATTACACAGGTCAGGGATCTATGCATATAGTCACTCACGGTAATTAAATAGGTCTGCGTCAAGTTTTTCAATCTCCATGCATTTCTTGTTGCTGCTGGGGTAGATGCTGACTTTAGTTTAACGTAGGGTTGTACGGATGCGCAGGCTGGTCTCGATCCATGCTGGTCGCAAACCCATTATGTTGGTTTTGTCGTGACACGGCTCATTTAATTGCGGACTAGTTTTTGTTCATTATATGATAATATACGCAAAGTTCTTGTATATGTGTTTATTAACAAGGCAGTTTCATTATTTTACAACAGATCGATGTGAATTGGTTCGGAAAGACAGAGTTGAAGACATTCACAACAAGTTGATGAGCTGTCTTATCCACGTGATCTCAGAAAAAGGGGCGGAGTCAGTAGCGAGGCGACTCGGGAAGCTGTGTGACGTTCTTATGTGTTGCCGATACGTCACAGAGGTCGACATGAAACAAGTGAAAAAAATATTCCTTGAGTGGCCTTCATTTTCAAACTACAAACTGGCAGAGGAATTCTTATAATTCAAGCCTGTTTCAGTTACATTAAAAAAAAAACAGCAATTTCCAAAGAAATAAAAATTTGCTCAGTAATAATATTTTTTACACTTTGAATATACGTTTTAGCATATATTTGTAGATCTATATTGTATTTTATTTTTGGAATTACATACTATTAGGTATATAAATTCAAGACATAAATGTTAAATTATTTCGGGTATCTACACATATCAAAATTCTTATTTTTCCCATTAATCCATGACATCAGAATCAATTACCTCAGGAAATATCATTTTAAAACTGTTAGATGTTACCATTTATTTTATTCTACCCCTTGTGTTTTAATTGTGTTTTAACATAACACCCCTCCCCCTCACGTTTAAATATGTTTTACCATAATGTTTTACTATGTGTTTTATTTTAGCATAGACATGTATGTAATGTACTAAGTTACTGACTTTCTATTTCTTTTGTTCTTTTGAAAGATAACATCTGACTTTCTATTTCTTTTGTTCTTTTGAAAGATAACATCTGACTTTCTATTTCTTTTGTTCTTTTGAAAGAAAAGATAACATTCAAACAATCTAGTCTTATAGATCGAGAACGTTGGCCTTAAATGTAACGGTGGTCTATTGTTAATGTGTCGGTCACACAGAACAGTGGTCGATGGTTCGAGCCATATTGTTGGACATACAAAAGTTTCACGCTTTTTATTGAATTTCTGCTATGAGAAATAATTCCAAAAAACTATCCTCGAACAGAATTATAAAAATTTAATTAAAAAAAAAGAAAAAAGAAAAAAAAGAAACAACAACAAGCCACAGTAAAACCAGTTTTCATTTAGTTGAAGTATATAATTATGTTACTGTAATAAAAGTCTGAACTTCATTTGAACCACTTCCTAAAACAAACTATTTGAGGGAATCTTGACCGTGCCCCAAACAGACCTCGACACCATGATACCTTGGTTGAGAGGCAGACACGCTAGTCACTAAGCCACCGCTTCCTTTACGATTTAACTGAAATTGTATTAAAGATGTTATATCAACATCGACTCAAAATTTCAAAATTGTTACAATCAAATGCAAGCGCAAGAAAGACCAATCAGGGCAGTTATATTAACTAAATACAATGTATATATTTTATATACAGTACAGTAAGATTATTGTTGTTGTTTATTTATTTATCTATCTCATTATTTGGTCAGATGATATTGTTCAATGGTTGTCATTGGAAGTGAAGTTATATATTGTGCATGGTTATTTGTAAATAAATATTTTTAGATACATGTGTTTCTTTAACTTAACCATGTTAGTTGTTAAACACAAATGAAACTTAGACATAGAAAAGGCAACCAATTTACACTGCCATGTTAGTAAGACATATGCGATGTCATGTTTAGAAAGCGATATCCAATATAGTTGTTTCAGAATATTGCATATTTCCATTCGCGGAGCAATATAAATCATGTTATTATATACCTATAAATTTTCTCCCTAAAATACACGCCAATATTGAAGCACAAATACGTTTCATCGGATTGAAATTTCCGTATTATGTTAGTGACAAATACGGTACCATATATGGAAGTGACGGACTATTTTTGACGTTGGTTCCGATCTTAGCTTTGTATAACGTTGCATTTGGAAACGGGAACCAAAATTATTAAAGGCGTGGCCGGTTTTCAAGAAATACGTATTCATCCGTCAGTCATGAATTTATTTCTTGACAACTACATTTCATTTTCTGTATAAAACGAAAAGGTATATAATAAAAGGAAAATTATGTTGTAGCAGCTTTCTTCGGTCTCGCGAGATATCAATTTTCCACCGCTGCTCGTAGCAAAATGCAAAGCCACAGAAAGCTACTACAACATAATATTCCGTATTTATATCTTCAGAAGTGCTTTTTTCTTCCAAAGTAATTTAAGTTGTTTTAGTTTTAGGAAGCATTTGATGTAATCTGAGGGTGATTGTTGTCAGTTTTTCGTGATCAACAAAGACCCTTTGATCTCATTTTCATAAACAATCGTGAGATACAATATTGGATGCAGAAAAAAGAAAATAACAGCTCTAGCTAAAAAGGCTCTTAATGACACATATCATTGTAATATTGATGACGTAAAAAGTTGACGTAAAGTTAGAATCTCCAGGCTAACTAAGTTTATTCAGTATTTTAAACTTTATTATATATTCTCACGAGTGGGCTGTTTTTAAAGTTCACGAGATGAAATAAAATTACATCTTACACAACAAACAAACAAATTTTCTTTTTATTTTATGCTTAAAAACAAGTTAAAACGAAATTTCCTTAATATTTACGTTAATATTTAAATCTGTTTCCCCATTTAGAGCCTCAAAAAAGTCGAATTTCTCATTAAATACAAGAAGTCATGGGCTGAAAAATAAGTTCCACAATCAATGTAAATGGTGGTGATAGTATTTATTTTATTACAAAAATATGTCTGATCGCATGTTTAAATAATAAAAACAAACAATTCTAGTAGGAGAAAAAGTCCAACCATCCATCCATATTTCTGTTACTGACTGCGAATTTATATTAGACCTGGCTATGTTAAATGTAAGCGGCCGCCATTTTTAAAGTTGTGTATTTCACTGGAGGAAAATAATTGTGTTTGATTCAGAGGGATATCATTTGGATTTGTTAGTCATACACCTTTTTAAAAGAAAGAAAACTTATTTGAGGATTGTAACAGACAATAAATAAGTGTTGACAGATGTGTAAACATTCAAAAAAGTGGATAGGAAATTGGAAAACTTGGAAGCCTTACGAACGCTGGGTTGTTTACATATTCTTCGACTGAAAGCTGCGGCATTGCTTTTCAAGTTTTCATAAAGCATACGGCAGTTTTTGCTCGTAGGATACTTAAATATTCCCAAATGTCATCAAGAGCAGTTTTGCAAGAGGAAGGAATGTATTTTTCAGACTGTAAAAATGAAACAAAAAATTAAAGAGACGATATTTGGTGATTGGTAATTTGAATGAATAGAAGTAACTTACTGTAAGTTTTCTTCTTTTTATTACTTTTGACATATAAGTTATTTATCAATTTCAGCTTTGCTTTTCTTTAAACAGCCTGACATTGACGGAATAGTCAGCAAAAATAAAATTGAGGTACCACATGGGGAAAATCTTAAAAAAGTAGTTTCGTCATTGAAAAGTGTGAAATTATATTTTGATAATTTTCACTGTGAAATTATCAAATATAATTTTCACGGATAAATCAGTAATCCACTGAAAAGCATAAAATAAATACCTATAACTTTTCTCCCTTAAATACACGCAAATATTGAAGCGAAAATACGCTTTAACGGATAGAAATTTCCGTATTATTGTTAGTGACAAATACGGTACCATATATGGAAGTGCCAAACTATTTTTTGACGTTGGTTCCGATCTTAGCTTTGTATAACGTTGCATTTGGAAACGGGAACCAAAATTATTAGAGGCGTGGCCAGTTTGCAAGAATTACGTATTCATCCGTCAGTAATGAATTTATTACTTGACAACTACATTTCATTTTCTGAATAAAACAAAAAGGTATATAATAAAAGGAAAATTTTGTTGTAGTAGCTTTCTGAGACTGTATTCTTCTACTCGCAACGTTGGAAAATTGATATCTCGCGAGACCTTCGGTCTCGCGAGATATCAATTTTCCACCGCTCCTCGTAGCAAAATACAGAGCCTCAGAAAGCTACTTCAACATAATATTCCGTATGTACATCTGTTCAAAACTTCAAAGCACAAAAGTAGGTCATTTGGTTAACATTATGGTTACCTGATAATAGACTTTAATGATGGTAATGAGGTGCTATTTTAATGTTGTAGCTCTTGCCACAAAACAGAAGGTCACTAGGTCAAAGTCGTGGTCAGCTGAGTTCAATTCTGCATCCCAAACATCAACAGGTATGTTTATCAATTAAAGTAAGTTCGATACATTAAAACTTCAAAGGGTACTTGCCAATTATTTTCATAAGCCAGTAGACCTTCGGGGACGTATATGGAATAACACTGGTCAAGTTTGAATTATTTAGAGAGATAATGTAAATTCGTTATCATATTAGGATTTATATATGGCATGCAAGTACAGTTAACTCCGCTTATGACGAACTGATTGGGTAATTTAAAATATGTAGGAGTGCTTTGTAAGCATACAGCTAATTATAATTAGTTCTTTGTATCAAAAGTTTTTATAAGCGAACAGATTTACAAATAACAAACTGATTGTTTACCATGGTCCTCCATTTTGAAGAGCATTTGATTAATAAAAGTAACTCATTTGGGTTCGTCATTGTTGTGTCCCTTAAATTGATTCAAAATAATTGCATTGTTTTGCGAGGTCATAAACTTTTTTTTTTGAAGGATAATGCCTAAAAGGCTCTGGCACCTTTAAACCACACAAAAATGTGGAGTCCACATTATCGTTTTTTTCCGGACGATCTCGCTTCCGTTTCAGTGAGGATGTGGACGTTTGATACTCCTGTAGAATATTTTCATTTTAAGACACAATACCCGACAGCATGCTTTTGCTATTTCACTTTTACTCCCTTTCTCAATTTCTCGTAAAATATCAGTTTGTTCCTAAATCAACGATTTTCGTTTTCTGTAAACATGATTTTTCGATTTTTTCTTCCTTTTATATTGAATTTCATCTATTATATTTTAAGGGTGACTTTTCCTTATAGATTTCTTTTCATTTCAATCAAGCGTACTTTGTACTTTTCAATAGATTTCACTCAAGAAATAACATGAGTAATTATGTTGAAAACCAATTGTAAATGGTCAAGAACTCGTGTTAAAAATATCCTATATAAAAAGCTATCAAGTACTGCTAAACAATTCAAGTTCAAAGCTGTAATATATAATCAGTTCAATAAAAACAAACGCTTTTCTTAAGCTTTCGACGTTTAGTCTTCTTCAGAAAAAATTGAAGTTTATAAAATAACAAATGACAAATGACGCAACGTCCGTTTAACTATACGCTAAACCGAACGTGACGTTAACGCGGGAATAAAAACTTTGTCAAATAAATACAGAATCTTTCATGAATATAAATACTGGCACGCGAGCAGTTCCCGTACAGAAGCAGTACCCGTATTTTTCATTTAAACGCTTGATTTTTACTTGCATTCTTCAAAAATTCATTTCAAATCAAGCAGATACATAAACGAGACAAAATCTAATTGTCAGTTCGGCAGTACGTATATAAAGTCTCATTTTAAATCACTTTCACCTGTGCGTCGTCAAAACGTGACCTTGTTTTCTCTTGGGGATTCCGTCCTTGCGCGCATGCGCAAAAATACTTACACGTGAGGCTTGTTAAAGGGTTTTCCACTAATACCACCTGTTTACAAATAAGTAGGCAATGAGATGAAAAAGTGTTTAATTATCAGAATGTTGACCAATATTACTATAAATAATAATTTTATGGCTTTGATGCGTAAAATATCATGCATACAAGCATGTTACTGCATATGAATGCGTTGTGGTAACGGTACCGGGAAATAGATACCCGCGTTTACTCTACGCTCTATTTCCTGAATTACATCTATTTATCTCTTAGATAATGGTCTGTTCAACAATTGTAAATGAAAAATAGGTCCGATATAATAAAATTTTATAATTATAAGGGGTTAGATTTTATGTACGGGAACTACTTCTCTTCATACAAAATAATGGATAATTTCGGTACCCCATATGAGGCCTCATAAGTAAGGGTTATTCTATGTTTATAACATGATGGAATTTCCATGATTTGTGTGACGAGCCGAATATTGATGTGTAATATTCAATTATTGGTGAGTGAGCGTAATAAAAAATAATGATTAAGTAACTAAGATTTTTGTACGGGAACTGCTCGCATGCCAGTACAGCAATATACAAAAAATTACACATATAATATGGATCTGCACATGTGATACAAAAATTCTCATAATAAATAATAATAATAATAAAAATAATAAAAAAAACTTGATATGAGAAAAAACATAATACATGTATATGTATACCGGCTCAATAATGACAAAGTTATATATTGTACAAAACTTTTGCATTAATACCATTAGGTGATAATGTGTTAAGAAGCTTATGAATTTTGTTATTATTATTATTTTTTTGTTCAAAGCTGTCAAGTACATACACAAATAAATTGTGCGTTCGGTCGAGTTTAACCCATTCCGATGAAAACGGAGGGTCTTCTTTAGACAATATGAGGCCAAGAAATATGTCCATGAGATTTCCGAGTGGCATGGTCGTTTTTTGTTCC